TATAGTTACAGGTTTCTTAGTGATGGGATAATTTTTTGAGAAATGTGCCAGCTGATTTTGTCATTGTGTGATCATTATAAAATATGTTTACACTGTGGTAACAGTGGCTCATGCCTGTAATCCTAGCTAGCCTGTAATCCTCAGGAGGCTGAGATCTGAGGATCACAATTCAAAGCCAGCCTAGGCATGAAAGTCCTGAGGTTCTTATCTCCAGTTAACCACAAAAAAAGTGGAAGTGGCACTGTGGCTCAAGTGGTAGAATGCTTGCCTTGAGCTGAAGAGCTGAGGGGCAGTGCCCATGCCCAGATTTCAAGCCCAATAACTGACCAAAAAAAAATATTCCACATTAAAGATCTATGAATGAGTCTGGTACTGGTGGGTCACGCCTGTAATCCTAGCTACTCAACAGGCTAAGATCTGAGGATCTCTGTTCGAGGTCAGCCTGGGCTGTAAAGTCTGTCAGACTCTTATTTCCAATTAACCACCAAAAAGCAAGAAGTGGAGCTGTGGTTCAAGCCCCAGGACTGGCCTCATGCACATGCACACACACAAAATTTTTTTATAAATAACCAAGAGATAAGGGAGCTTTCCCAAGGAAGTCATAAACCCAGGAACTGTTTAGGAGTTCAGTAAGTTTAAAATATGAGAAGGAAAAATGTGTATACTTAAAGTTATAGCAAGGAGATATTTATAGAATACAAAGGATCTAATTTCTTTTTTTTGGGGGGGGGGGGGTCCGGTCATGGGGCCTGAACTCTGGGCTTGGGCGCTGTCCCTCAGCTCTTCAGCTCAAGGCTAGTACTCCACCACTTGAGCCACAGCGCCACTTCCGGCTTTTTTCTTTTTGCTTATGTGGTGCTGAGGAATCGAACCCAGGGCCTCAGGCATGCAAGGCAAGCGCTCTACCACTGAGCCACCTTCCCAGCCCGGATCTAATTTCTTTTACATACTGATATATTTTACAAATTCACTAGAAAAAAACACATTGTATTAACTATGTTACTATAATGGAGTACCTGAGTCAACTAATGCATAAACAAAAAGACTTAGTTCACAGATTGGAAGGTGCAAAGGCATGGCACCTGCATCTGCTCACTTAATGGTAGTGTATAATGGTCCATTCAGTAGCTAGTGCTCACTTTCAAGTCAGGAAGGTGGAAGTGAGAGAGAGACAAGATAAAGGAAATTAATGGAAAAGGTCCTCAATGGGTATGCTCTCAGTGAGGTAGGCCCTTCCACTGGCCTTGACCTTCCAAATTCTACAGCACATACAGATCAAGATTTTCACAAGTGGACTCTTAGAGGACATTAAAACAATTGAATGATCTCCAAACCATAACACATTTTTCAGTATAAAAATGTTAAAAATATGAAGTCAACTCTAATATCAGTTGACTTTAAAGAATCTAAAAAAGAAATACAAATAAAAACAAATAATATTTTTTTCCGTGTAAGATGTAGTAAGAATAATAGAAATAGTCAAGTGCAATGGTTTATGCTTGTCCTCCCTGGTACTTCGGAGACAGATTGGAAGGATCATAGTTCAAGGTGAGACTGAGCAAAGTTAGAAAGACTCCATCTCAATAAGAAGGTTGGGCATGGTGTTTCTTGTCTGTAATCTCAGTTATGCAGGAGGCGTAGATGGGAGGATCATGGTCTGAAGCTAGCCCTGGGCAAAAATTGAGAAACCTCTTGGAAAAATAAGTAAAAACACACGGAGGCATCATCAAATGGAAGAGTATTTGCCTAGCATGTGCAAGATCCTGACTTCAAACCAGCATCATTAAAAAAAAAAGTTAAAAACAAAAAAAAAACTTCCTTACTCTTTGTTAGCATGGATATGATGCTCTAGATTCATTTTTGCATATTCCCTAGCCATAGAACCAGTCATTTCTCTGAGGAGCACTGGTTTCTTCATTAAAGGACATTATATTATAAAGGATATAATCAACCAATACCAGGCAGGACATAGTCCTTGTTTACTGGACAGATATCTTCTCTGGTGACAGAAGAAGGGCATGCACATGTGTATACACAATATGTATTCAGAGTCAAATTACAACTGCTGTTCCTTCTTCCATATTTGCTTTACAAATATGGAATATGGACGATCGTGGGGCTTGAACTCTGGGTCTGAGCGCTGTCCCTCAGCTCTTCAGCTCAAGGCAAGCACTCTACCACTTGAGCAACAGCACCACTTCTGGCTTTCTGAGTGGTTGATTGGAGATTAGAGTCTCACCGAGTTACTTGCCTGGACTGGCTTTGAACTGTGATCCTCATATCTCAGCCTCCTGAGTAGCTAGGATTACAGGCTTGAGCCATCAGCGCCTGGCTTAACAAGTTCGGTTATATCCTGTTAGTGGGAGTGTATTTCAGCAGCACTTTGGGAATGTAATTTTTGTACTATCCATCAAAATTTAGGGAATTCCCCCTGCTCTCCATACTGGAGTTAGAGTTTGGCCTCACACTTGCTAGGCAGATGCTCTACCACGGAACCACAGTTCCAGCTCCATCAAAAATTTAATTGCTGGCTGGGAATGTAACTCAGTGGTAGCAAGCAATGTAGCTAGGATTACAGGCGTGAGCCACCGGTGCCTGACATATGCAAATATTCTTAGAGCATTATTTATAATAGTAAAAACTTAGAGGAACAACGTAAATGTCATTCAGTTGAGGACTGGTTGAATAAAATATGGTACAATGAGGGCCTGTAGTATTAGAAGAGAGAACACAGTGGAAGCAGGCCGGAACTGCTGCCAGAGCCATGACTGCTAGCAATAGTGTCAGCTTTCTTGACAGAGTGTGAAAAAGCAGGGCAGCTCTGATAGTGAGCTTTCTGTTGCTACCTACAAGAAGAGGCACGCAGAAATCACACAGTAGAAATAGAAAAAGGCAGATAAGGAACCGAAGTGGTTTTGTGGCTTGTGTCCACTTGCCTTGGCCTTTGCCTGTATGCCTGGAGTCAGTCACACTCATGCTTCTTGTATTGCTCACAGGTAGCACTGATGGCATTTCCTTTGCCCTGAGTCTTCAAGGGCTCTCCTCTTTGTTTCTTTCCTTTCTAGAGGGGAGGGGGAATAGAGAGAGAGAGAGAGAGAATTATTTATTTTGCCAGTTCTGGGGCTTGAACGTAGGGCCTGGGCACTGTCCCTGAGCTGCTTTTTGCTCAAGGCTAGCACTGTACCACTTGAGCCACAGCGTTACTTCTGGCTTTTTCTCTGTATGTGGTACTGAGGAATGGAACCCAGGATTTCATGTATGCTAGGCACTCTACCACTAAGCCACATTCCCACCCCCTTTTTTTGTTTTTAATAATTCCTGTGAGAGCACATCCCAATGTAAATGTTATAATTAAAAATACATTTATGCATGAAACATTTATGTAATGTGAAGTCATATAAATAAAGTATATATGACCACTTCTCAGCCTTTGGCTAAGATCAAGTGTAGTATCTGTTCTTACTGATTTACTATTTGATTCGTCCTCTAAGGCTAATGTGGATAATATGGAGCAGGGAGATGGAATAATAACTTCTCTCCATACATGGACCTGATATTGTAGCACATTCAGGAATGATGCACTGTATCCTAGAAAAAAAATGTGTGTGATTTCAAGTGTGTGTAAATAGATAACCATGATGTATATTTTTATGAAAAATGCAAGTTGCCAATCAATGTTCCATTTTTACTGAGAAAAGATGTGCTGTTTTTGGTTACAAGCTCAAGTGATGTGAATATAAACTGAGGAAAGCACTAGAGATCCAGATGTACTCAGGTGTTAGCATTATTTACTCTTAGGGGATGGAACTGAGTGGGAAGGAAGGAAGAATAGTAAAAGGGCAGGAAAAAGAGACATAATAAGGGCCTTTCTGTTTTATTTTCTTGGAACTTTAAATATTGAAATTTAGGTGTTTTTACTCTATAATTCCTCTAATTCATTTTTTTTAGATTTCAGCATTTTATATCTTTATTATTAAAAATACTATTTTAAACTTAATATTGAAATGCTCGTTTCTATGTCAGGGCATCCATCAGACCTTGTTTAAAGTATTTCCTATCCTGTTCCATTGTACCATCCTATGGAAACCTTTTTTGACACGAGTGTATTAAAACAAGAGTAAGGAAATAAAACTGAACTTTCGCAATATTTATATAGTCTTACATTTGGTTCTTGGAAAAAAGTTGTAAAAAGAATATTCTTTTCAATTTTTAACAAACCAGAAGATGCAATTATTCACATCCTTTGGGTTTCGGCCTCTTATAGATTGTCTCATAGAAAGAGCTCCCAATTCTGATACTATTAAACAATAAATATTTTTTCACAAGAAAAGTAAAGCACATACATTAACATGGGCCAGAGTTTGCTTACAAGAATACAGATAGCAGAGTAGGGGGGTACAGACTCCCAAGATGTGATCGATGGTCTCTATGTGTCTATATCCTGGACATATTGTGCCTGTGTCTGCCAGATTAGATAATGGCTCTTGGCTCTCCCAACTCTTAATAAGTTCTGGTCCTAAGGTCCACAATGAATCAACAAAAATGAATCCCAGCTGGGCATACTGTTTAATTCTTAAAAGGTAGAAATATTTATTGCTTGCAAGAAATATATAAACCAACTTGTAAATGTGTTCAGTTTCATTTCTACTATGTTACTGTTATAAGACTAAAGTGAATGCTACTCTGGTATGATGCCACATGCCTATAATCTTAGTACTCTAGAGACTGAGTCAGAAGGATTGCAGGTTCAAGGCCAGCCTGGGCTACATAGAAGACCCTGTTTCCAAAAAAAAAAAAAAAGAAAGCTACAGAATATAGTGTTCATATGAAGTTGGAAAAATGAGGTATGAGACAATCTTTTGCTAATGTAAGAATTCAAGAAGAGTACTGTATGTGAATATTTGAGTCTTATAATAAATCAAGATTTTTATTTATATGTTGAACCTTTTTTTTAGCCAACTCGATATTGGTGATAATTTTTTTTTTTCCTTTTCTGAAAGAAATGGCAACAGATGTACCATCATTGGGATCCACTATTGCCTCTGGAAACCCTGGGCCTGGGATTCAAGGTGGAGGAACCATTGTCCAGAGGGCTATTAAAAGGCGACAAGGGTGAGTTTGAATATCGTGTCTTGAATGTCTCTTCTTATAAGCTGTCTGATTTAGGGGCTGGGAAGGTGGCTCAGTGGTAGAGTGCTTGCCTTGCATGCCTGAGGCCCTGGGTTCGATTCCTCAGCACCACATAAGCAGAAAAGAAAAGCCGGAAGTGGGGCTGTGGCTCAAGTGGTAGAGCCCTAGCCTTGAGCTGAAGAGCTGAGGGACAGCCCCCAGGCCAGGGTTCAGGCCCCACAACCCGACCCCAAAAAAAAAAAAAAATTAAAAAAAAAAAATTATAAACTGTCTGATTTAGTTAGTTGCTCAGTCTCCATGACTACTTCTGACTCTTTTTTTTTTTTTTTGGTCGGTCGTGGGGCTTGAACTCTGGGCCTGGGCGCTGTCTCTCAGCTCTTCAGCTCAAGGCAAGCACTCTACGACTTGAGCTACCGCGCCACTTCCGGTTTTCTGGTGGTTTATTGGAGATTGGAGTCTCATGGTCTCTCCTTCCCCGGGCTGGTTTTGAACTGTGATCCTCAGATCTCAGCCTCCTGAGTAGCTAGGATTACAGGCGTGACCACCAGCGCCAGGCTCTTTTTTTCTTTTGCCAGTCATGGGGCTTAAATTTAGGGCCTGGGCACTGACCCTGAGTTTCTTTTGCTCAAGGCTAGCACTCTACCACTTGAACTACAATGCCACTTCCGGCTTTTTCTGTGATTTAATTGGAGATAAATCTCATAGACTTTCCTGCTCTGGCTGGCTTCAAACTGTGATCCTCAGATCTCAGCCTTCTGAGTAGCTAGGATTACAGGTGTAAGCCACTGACACCCAGATACAGTTTTCTTTTTTGTTGTTGTTTTTGTCTTGTCTTTCTTGTTGTTTTGTTTTTCTTTTTTTTTTTAATTTAAATTTTGTGCTGATCTGGGAGTTTGAAGTCAGAGCCTGGACACTGACCCAGAGCTTTTTTACTCAAGGCTAGACTCTACCACTTGAGCCACAACTCTACTTCTGTCTTTTTTTGGTGGTTAATTATAGATAAAAGTAGAATGAAACTTCCTGTCCAGGCTGGCTTTGAACCATAATCCTTAGATTTGAGCCTCTGGAGAAGCTAGGATTATAGGTGTGAGCCAGCACCTGGATTTATCTTTCTTTTTATTTGAGACAGGGTCTCTTTGTGTGTCTAGGCTGGCCTGAAACCCACAGTCCTCCTGCTTCCACCTCCCAAGTGAGGCTTTATTTTAAAAAATTATGTAACTTGGGGCTGGGAAGGTAGCTTAGTGGTAGAGTGCTGGTCTAGCATACATGAAGCCCTGGGTTCAATTCCTTAGTACCACATAAAAAATAAATAAAAGAAGTCAAAAGTGAAAAACTTTTTAAAAAAATTATGTAACTGTTGGGTGTGGTAGTGCATGCCTGTAATTTCAGCATTGTGGAGGCAAAAGCAGGAAGATAAGCCTTCTAGACCACCCTGGGCTATTTAGAAGACCCTATTGCAAAACAAGAAATATTTTTTTTTTCTTTTGCCTGTCCTGGGGTTTGAACTCAGTGCCTGGGCACTGTCCCTGAGCTTCTTTTGCTCAAGGCTAGCACTCTACCACTTGAGCCACAGCACAACTTCTGGCTTTTTCTATTTGTGTGATAATGAGGAATCAAACCCAGGACTTCATGCATGGTACGCAAGCACTCTACCACTAAGTCACCTTCCCAGCCCAAAACAATTTTTTTTTTTTTGTCGGTCGTGGGGCTTGAACTCTGGGCTTGGGCACTGTCCCTCAGCTCTTCAGCTCAAGGCGAGTGCTCTACCACTTGAGCCACAACGCCACTTCCTGTTTTCTAGTGGTTTATGGGAGATAAGAGCCTCACAGAGTTTCCCGCCCAGGCTGGCTTTGAACCGCCATCTTCAGATCTCAGCCTCCTGAGTAGCTAGGATTACAGGCATGAGTCACCAGCGCCTGGCACAAAATAATTTCTTATATGACCGAGTGCTTTATACATTTTTACTTAGCTACTGAGATATAAAATGAATAAGTAACTTTCAAAGGTTCTAAAGTTAATTGTATGTAAATCTAGCTGTGAACATTAAGCGTTTAGCATTAGAGTTCACTGTAAAACAGGGTATGCTGGTAATATATATTAGGAAAAAGTTGGAAGTAATATAAATTTCAGAAATTAGGGTTCATCTAAGAAAGTTATATATTTTAAAATGGAACATTGTAAAGCTATTAGAATATAAAATAAAAGAGGTTACAATGTATATATATTATATCAATACTTTTTAAAATATTTACAACATGAATACTTTGATTAAACACATCCCAACTATATGTAAATTCCAGTGTCAGAAAAAAATGTATAAAATGTACATAACAGGGCCTGGGAAAGTGGTTCAGTGGTAGAGTGCTTGCCTTGCATCATGAGGCCCTAGGTTAGATTCTGCAGCACCACATAAGCAGAAAAAGCCAGAAGTGGCGCCTGTGGCTCAGATGATAGAGCACGAGCCTTGAGCTGAAGAGCTGAGGGACAATGCCCAGGCCCAGAGTTCAGGCCCCATGATGGACAAAAAAGAAAAAAGAAACAACAAAATGACCATCATATTTTGTGTGGCTGTGTGCTAGTACTGGGGCTTTAACTCAAGGCCTGTGTGCTGGCTCTTAGCTATTTCGCTTAAGACTGGCACTCTACCACTGGAGCCACACCTCCATTTCTTGCTTTTTGGTGGTTAATAGGAGATAAGAGTTTCATGGGGGGGCTGGGAAGGTGGCTCAGTGGTAGAGCGCTTGCCTCACATGCTTGAGGCCCTGGGTTCGATTCCTCAGCACCACATAAGCAAAAAGAAAAAAGCTGGAAGTGGCACTGTGGCTCAAGTGGTAGAGCGCTAGCCTTGAGCTGAAGAGCTGAGGGACAGCGCCCAGGCCCAGAGTTCAGGCCCCACGACCGGACCAAAAAAAAAAAAAAAAAAAGAGTTTCATGGACTTTCCTACCCATCTGGCTTTGAACCTTGATCTTCAGATCTCAGCTTTCTCATCAGTTAGGATTTCAGGTGTGAATCACTTTGCCCAGCATTACAATCAACCTTTCTAGTGTATTTATTTTCTATAGTTTTAAACCAGAATCTTTTTGAATAGTTAACAAATCTTTGCATCTTACTACATCAAATAGCCTTTTTTTGGTATTGTTTTATATTCTATGTAAGTTTTAAATATTTGCACAGAAGTATGAACGTAACTCCTTTTCAGAACACTTAAGTTGTTTTGAAGGTTTTGTTTTTATGTGTATTGCTACAGTGAACTTCTTTTTTTTTTTTTTGGGTTGGTCATGGGGCTTGAATTCAGGGCTTGGGCTCTGTCTCTGTACTCTTCAGCTCAAGGTGAGTGCTCTACCACTTGAGTCACAGAGCCACTTCTGGTTTTCTAGTGGTTTATTGGAGATAAGAGTCTATTTATTTATTTATTTAGTGCTTGTTCTGGGGCTTGAACTCAGGGCCTAGGTGCCGTGCCATCCCTGAGCATTTTGCTCAAGGCTGGCATTCTATCACCTGAGCTATATCTCCACTTATGGCTTTTTGATGGCTAATTCAAGATCAGAGACTCATGGACTTTCCTACCCAGGCTGGCTTTGAACGGAGATCCTCAGATCTCAGCCTCCTGAGTAGCTAGGATCATAGGCGTGAGCCACCAGCGCCAGGCTCATATTATTTCTTTAGGACTCTTATTGATAGAATTATAAGGTGGATTAGAATTTTGATAAATGATCAAGGACATCCTGAAAGAGGAAGAGGAACAAATATTTTTAGGATTGATATCATATACTTCATCGGTAACCCATGTAGAGACTTATCCTACCAAATTATCCCACCGGTAGAGATGCTAAAAGTGATTACTGGATTAAGGTGAGTACAGATGTAATAGGAAATTGGCCTCCCCTGTTACCTGTAATCTTTACTAATCCCCTGAAATGAAAGTTCTCTCTCCTTTCATTGAACATCCATAGCATGTTATGTCCCTCACATGACATTTTCCCATTCTCACCTGTATTTTCTTTGTATTTGTCTTAAGCAGAAACCACATTGAGAGCAAAGATTTTTTTCCCCCTCATCTAAAATGGCATCTTGAGTGTACTAATGGTTATGTGTTTAAACTAACAAGCTTCTTTGTCTAGGCCATTCTCATGTCATGTTAACTGCTTTAAAAGATTTCAAGCTGTACCAGTGTGTTCATGCCTATAATCCTAGCTACTCAGGAAGCTGAGATCTGAGGATCAAGGTTCAGAGCCAGCCGGGGCAGGAAAGTCCATGAGTCTCTGATCTCGAATTAGCCATCAAAAAGCCATAAGTGGAGATATAGCTCAGGTGATAGAATGCCAGCCTTGAGCAAAATGCTCAGGGATGGCACCTAGGCCCTGAGTTCAAGCCCCAGAACAAGCACTAAATAAATAAATAGTTATAAAAAACTGGTAACATTCATAAACTATAGAAATAAAAAGTTGTGGGGCTGGGAATGTGGCTCAGTGGTAGAGCACTTGCCTTGCATGCTTGAGGCCCTGGGTTCGATTCCTCAGCACCACATAAGATAAAAGTTGGAAGTGGCGCTGTGGCTCAAGTGGTAGAGGGCTAGCCTTGAGCTGAAGAGCTGAGGGACAGTGCCCAGGCCCAGAGTTCAGGCCCCACGACCAGACCCCCCCCCCAAAAAAAAAAATCTTAAAAAAAAAAAAAAGTTGTATATTTTAGTTTAGCAGTGATAAAGCACTTGTCTTGTATACACAAGGCTCTATCTTTGATTCTCAGCACTACATTAAGTAGTGATCTGAAGTCCAGTGCCCGTGCCTCACACATGTAATCCTAGCTACTCAGGAGGCAGAGATCTGAAGATTGCAGTTTCAAGCCAGCCTGGGCAGAAAAGTCCCATGAGACTCTTATCTTCAATTAACCACTCAAAAGCTGGAAGTGGCACTGTGGCTTAAAGTAGTAGAGCACTAACCTTGAGCAAATGAGCTCAGGGACAGTACCCAGGCCCTGAGTTCAATCCCTACAACCAACAAAATAAAAATAGACCTGAATCATTCTCTTTTTTTTTCCTTATTGTTTTTGAGTACATTCCTATTCCTTCTGTAGTAGTTATATTTGGATGCAGACCTTTGGTTGGAGGTGGGCTGCTACCCCAGGAAGTATAGTGATAGTGAGTAGTCTTTTCCTATTGCCCAATTTTTTTTCTTTTTCTTTTTTTTTTGGTCGGCTGTGGGGCTTGAACTCTGGGCCTGGGCGCTGTCCCTCAGCTCTTCAGCTCAGAAGGCGAGCACTCTACCACTTGAGCTACAGCGCCACTTCCGGTTTTCTGGTGGTTTATTGGAGATAGGAGTCTCACAGTCTCTCCTGCCCGGGCTGGATTTGAACCGCAATACTCAGATCTCAGCCTCCTGAGTAGCTGGGATTACAGGCGTGAGCCACCAGCGCCCGGCTTTTTTTTTTTTTTTTTTTTTAAACAAGGTCTTATGATGTATCCTTGGCTGGCCTCACGCTCATAATTCTTCTGGTCAGTCTTCCAAGTGCTGATAGTATAAGAATATGCCATCAGGAGCTGGGAAGATGGCTCAGTGGTAGAGTGCTTGCCTTGCATGCCTCTGAGGCCCTGGGTTCGATTCCTCAGCACCACATAAGCAAAAAGAAAAAAGCCGAAAGTGGCGCTGTGGCTCAAATGGTAGAGTGTTAGCCTTGAGCTGAAGAGCTGAGGGACAGCGCCCAGGCCCAGAGTTCAGGCCCCATGACCGGACTCAAAAAAAAAAGAAAAAAAAGAATATGCCATCAGGCCTGGTTTTATTCCCCTACTTCTTTTCCATTTTGACGTTATAGAGAAGAGGTAATATAGATTTGATTAACTTCAGCCCTCTTCCTCTTTTCTTTTTATTTGGGTGAGTATAAGGAAGCTTGTGTTAAGAAATTTCAGTTTCTTGGGCTGGGAAGGTGGCTTGGTGGTAGAGTGCTTGCCTTGCATGCATGAGGCCCTGGGTTCAATTCCTGAACACCACATAAGCAGAAAAAGCTGGAAGTGGCGCTGTGGCTCAAGTGGTAGAGCGCTCGCCTTGAGCTGAATTGCTGAGGGACAGCGTCCAGGCCCAGAGTTCAGGCCCCACAACCAGCAAAAACAAAACAAAACAAATAAATTTCAATTTCTTAGTATTCTGCATTTTCAGTAGGCTTACAGTTATTTATTGGCTTTCCCCAGGCTGGATTTTGATGATGATGGAGAAGGGAACAGTAAATTTTTGAGGTAAGAGTTTGAAAATTTTTGAGACTTTTAATATTGAAAATTAGTTATTGATCTTTGTAGTTCTGTCTTGTAATATTTTTGTTTTTAGGCCTAAGAAGAGTGCTTCATCCTAAACCTGTATATTTTCATATTATATCCCAGTTTTCAGGCATTCTATGAATGATTTCATAGATAAGATCTCAGTGAAGAGAGGACAGAGTTTATAAGATTCTCTGAATATCAATAATGTGTTGATGCATGGTTTAAGAAGAACAATAGTTTATTATTTCTCACAGTTCTGTGGATTGATTGCATGGTTATTCTGCTGATCTTGCCCAGACTTGTTCATAAGGCAGATTTGGTCAGCGAGGTTCAATTCAGCTATAATGGTTGTGTTTGTAGTCTTGTCCTTAAGAAGGCAAGCCTGCCGGGTGGTGGTGGCTCACACCTGTAATCCTAACTGCTCAAGAGGCTGAGATCTGAGGATCACACTTCAAAGCCAGTCTGGGCAGCAAAGTCCATGAGACTATTATCTCTAATTAACCACCAGAAAACTGGAAGTGGCGCTGTGGCTGAAGTGGAAGAGTGCTTGCTTTGAGCTGAAGAGCTCGGGGACAGTGCCTAGGCCCATGAAGCGCCATGACCAGCAGGAAAAAAAAAGAAAAGAAAAGAATCTTCTGGAGCATTAAAACTGGATTTTAAAATACATTTTTAAAGGGTTCTTCTGGGGCTGGGAAGGTGGCTCAGTGGTAGAGTGCTTGCCTCGCATGCAAGAGGTCCTGGTTTTGATTCTTCAGCACTACATAAGCAGAAAAATCCGGAAGTGGCGCTATGGCTCAAATGGTAGAGTCTTGAGCTGAAGAGCTGAGGGACAGCAGCCCAGGCCCAGAGTTCAGGCCCCACGACTGACAATAAAATTTAAAAAATAAATAAATAAAATAAAATAAAGAGTTCTTCCAGAAAGTTGGGATATTCTTACTGAATACCCAATGTTTTGCTCGTTTTTATGTGAAAAAGAAATAAAACTCAAAGAAAGGAAATAACTTTGACTGCAGTCTTCCTTCATTTTTCTTTCTGAATTTGGAAATATTACCCATGTAGTTTGAATATTGCTAAATGGATGCTTGATAAGTAAATAAAGGAGCCTTTTTAAAAAATATTATTTGGAGTGGGGTGCCGGTGGCTCAAGTCTGGCAATCCTAGTTACTCAGGACGCTGAGATCTGAGGATCACAGTTCCAGGCCAGCTCCTGCAGGAAAGTCCATAAGACTTATCTCCAATAAGCTACTGGAAAACCAGAAGTGGTGCTGTGGCTCAAGTGGTAGAGTGCCCGCCTTAAGCTGAAGAGCGCAGGGACAGCGCCCAGGCCCAGAGTTCAAGCCCCATGACTGACAAAAAAAAAAAAAAAAAATTTGGTTATATGGCTACCAAAGTTTCATTTAATAATTTTATTTATTTATTTTTGGTTGGTTGTGGGGCTTGAACTCTGGTCCTGGGCGCTGTCCCTCAGCTCTTCAGCTCAAGGCTAGCACTCTACTACTTAGGCCACTGTGCCACTTCTGGTTTTCTATTGGAGAAAAGAGTCTTATGGACTTGCCTGCCCAGATTGACTTTGAACCATAATCCTCAGACCTCAGCTTCCTCCTGAGTAGCTAGGATTACAGGTGTGAACCACTGATGCCTGGCTTCATTGCTTTATTAATTAAAATTTTATTTAAGTTTTGAGCAGTACTGGAGTCTCATGCTTGTATAGGACAATGATAAATGACAAGAGAAACAGACTACTACTTAATGAGGGTCAGTATAGAGACAGCTTTAGATTGAGGATCAGAGAAGCCTCTGGGGAGCACACTTTCCATCTGAGACTAAAATGTTAAGTAGCCAAAATGGGATGACTGGTTTGGGTAGAATAGGCAGGTAGAAATTCTGCCACATGGTAAGGGGGAACTTTGAGGATTTTATACTAAGTAAGATAAGTCAGTCACAAAAAGGCAGATATTGCTGGGCACTTGTAGCTCATGCTTAGCTACTCAGGAGATCTGAGATCTGACGATTGAGATTTGAGGCCAGCCTTGGCAGGAAAGTCCATGAGAATCTTATCTCTAATTAATGAGAAAGTTGGAAGTGGGGCTCTGGTTCAAAGTGGTAGAGCACTAGCCTTGAGCAAATAAACTCAGGGACAGTGCCCAGGTCCTGAGTTCAAGACTCAGGACTGGAAAAAAAAAGAGATAAGTATTACATGGTAAGCTTATATGAGGTATTATGTGAGTAATTAAATTCATAGCCACAGAAAGTAGACTGGTGGTTGGCAGGGGTTAAAGGTAGGGGAAAATGATGTCCAATGAATATAGTTTCAGTTTTGCAGGATGGAACGTGGTTAGATTATTTTTCTACCACAATGTGAATTCACTATTAACCTGGGTTGAGAGGCATGGCCTAAGTGGTAGAGTGCCTATCTAGCAAGCACAAGACTGAGTTCAAACCCTAGTATTTTTTTTTAAATGTCATTTTGTGTTTGTGTGTATGTGCATGCATGTGTGCTGGTACTAGGGGTTGAACTCAGGCCTCATGATCTCACTTGGCTTTTTCATTCAAGCCACACTTCCAAGTCCAGCTTTTGGCTGGTTAATAAGAAATAGATGTCTCACAGACTACTTACTGTCCAGGCTGGCTTTGAATGGGGATCCTCAGATCTCAGCCTTATCAATAGCTAGAATTACAGGTATGAGTCACCAGTGCCAGGTAGTATTTTTTTGTGTGTGTCTGTGTCCGTCGTGGTGCCTGAACTCTGGGGCCTGGGCATTCTCCCTCAGCTCTTCAGCCTTGAGCTCAAGAGCGCCACTTCCAGCTTTTTCTGCTTATGTGGTGCTGAGGAATCAAACCAAGGGCATCATGTATTCAAGGCAAACACTCTACCACTGAGCCACCTTCCCAGCCCAGGTAGTATTTTTTTTTAATTGCAGTTTTTAAAAAGGGAAATAAATATATTCTTTCTTTGCTTCCTTTTCCTTTTCCTTTCTTCCTTTCTCTCTCTTCTCTTCTCTCTCTTCTTTTCCCTTCCTCCCTCTTCCCTTCCTTCCATACTTCTTTCTTCTTCTTTTGCTGGTCCTGAGGCTTGAACTCAGGGCCTGCATACTGTCCCCGAGCTTCTTGAGTTCAAGTCTAGGGCTCTACCACTTGAAACACATTGCCACTGCTGGCTTTCTTTTTTTTTTTTTTCCTGAATAGTTTATTGGAAATTAGAGTCACATGGACTTTCCAGCCTGGGCTGGCTTCAAAGTATGATCCTCAGATCTCAGCCTCCTGAGTAGCTAGGATTACAGGTGTAAGCCAGGGCTTATATCCCAAATTTTTTTTTTTTTTTTGGTTGGTCGTGGGGCTTGAACTCTGGGCCTGGGCGCTGTCCCTCAGCTCTTCAGCTCAAGGCTAGCACTCTACCACTTGAGCCACAGTGCCACTTCCAGTTTTCTGGTGGTTAATTGGAGATAAAAGTGTCATGGACTTTCCTGTTCGGGCTGGCTTCGAACCGCGATCCTCAGATCTCAGTCTCCTGAGTAGCTAGGATTACAGGCCTGAGCCACCAGTGTCCGGCTATATCCCTAATTTTATAGTGTTACTAGCAGGGTAGTTAGCTCTGTCCTTATGTTTTTTTTTTTTTTTTTTTTTTTTTTTATGTCTGATAAGGTAATAAAGAAATCAGAAACCTGACAAATATTAGTCAAGAGATTGTTTAAGTTCTGTGTGATGCTGTGCTGTTACTGTTTTTTATTGCTTTATTATGCTTTTCTATGAGCTCTTCTCTTTTTGAATATTTTTACTCATTTTTAGTTTTTACATCAGGGTGTAATAGATAGAACAAATGTGATGCTTTGAATTAAATGAATCATTTTTTTCTTCTTCAGGTGTGATGACGATCAGATGTGTAATGATAAGGAGCGGTTTGCCAGGTAATACAGAAGAGCATTTTAGTCCTTGTTAGAGGACCAGACAATATAATCATACTAAATTTTAATTTTATCTGAGTTAGAGTGGAATTTCTCTATCTAGTCTTTTTCTCTTCTGAAAGGTGATTAAACAGTATTATAGCTCTCATATATGTTTGTGACATTACTTTAAATTATTGTTCCTTTTTGTTGTTATTGTTGTTACTCTTGGTTGAACTCTGCTTGGGCACTGTCCCTGAGCTCTTCAGCTCAAGTCTGGTGTTCTACCACTTGAGCCACAGTGCCACTTCTGGTTTTCTGGTGGTTAATTGGAGATAAGAGTGTCATGGATTTTCCTGCCCAGATTGGCTTTGAACTGTGATCCTCCTGAGTAGCTAAGATTACAGGTGTGAGCCACCTATGCCTGGCTACTTCTGGCTCTGTTATGTGGTACTCAGGAATTGAACCTAGGGCTTCATGCATGCTAAGAAAGCCCACTAACACTAAGCCACAGTCCCAGCTTTTATAGTGGTCTTCTATGTATGTTACACCTATAGGAGTGTGCTTACTAGGTATCTTTGGAAACATAGATTGTGGATTTCTTGATTGTATTTGCTATCAAATTGGTACAGATATTGGAGGAATCTTTATAGCAAATGATTTTATTCACTAAGAAATGACAAAGTCATGGAAACTGGAGTTTTGAGTAAAGTAAATACAATTTTTTAAAAATTACTGTCAAGATGATGAAATATACTTATTTACTTACCCTCCCCCCACTTTGTTTTTTCTGGTACTGGGGCTTGAATTTAGGGCCTGAGTGCTGTCCCTTATCTCTTTTGTTTAAGGTTGTCACTCTACCTCTTGAGCCATACCTCCACTAGTGATTATTTGGTGGTTAATTGGAGATAAGAGGGTCATAGAATTTGTTGCCTGCCTCTTTGAACCACAGTTCTCAGATCTCAGCTCCTGAGTAGCTAGTATTACAGGTGTGGGCCATTGGTGCTCAGCCAGTAATTTATTTATTTTTTTACAAATTAAGTTTGTGGATTTGTGGGAATGGTATTAGTGAGAGAGTGTCTGCCTAGCAAGTATAAGGTCCTAAATTCAAATCATTGTACTGCCAGAAAAAAAATTTATAACAACCTCAGAAAATAATCTTACTTAAAAATATAATACTTTTTAAATTTTTATGCTGATATTGGCACTTGGGCTTTGAATTCTCTCCTGTCTTTTTCACTTATGGCTGGCATTCTATCACTTGAACCAGGCCTCCAGTTGGCATTTTAGCTAGTTGAAGATAGAATCTCATACATTTTGGCTGACTTTGAGCATCAGTTCTCTAGGTGTCAACCTTGATTTTTTTTTTTTTTTTTTTGGAGTCATGGGGCTTGAACTCTGGGCTTGGGCACTGTCCTTGTGCTCTTCAGCTCAAGGCAAGCACTCTGCCGCTTGAGCCACAGCGCCACTTCTGGTTTTCTAGTGGTTTATTGGAGATAAGAGTCTCATAGACTTTCCTGCTGGGGTTGGCTTTGAACCTCGATCCTCGGATCTCAGCCTCCTGAGTAGCTAGGATTATAGGCGTGAGCCACTGGTGCCCGGCTTACTTTAGACATTTTATTTTAGACTTATGTACCAATCTAAAATATGATTGAGTACTGATATACTGACTCTCTAACACCTTATTTTTATTTATTTTTGTGGTCATTTATGGGTTGACACCTATGTCAACCTTGGAGTATGGGGGCATGAGACATTGTTACAGCCCAGTGTACTGTAATACTTTATTCATTGCTGGTGCTTGGCATTTTGAGAACCATTGATGATGATGATTATTTTTTGGGTCCGGTTGTGGGGCCTGAACTCTGGGCCTGGGCACTGTCCCTCAGCTCTTCAGCTCAAGGCTAGCGCTCTACCACTTGAGCCACAGCGCCACTTCCGGCTTTTTTCTTTTTGCTTATGTGGTACTGAGGAATCGAACCCAGGGCCTCATGCATGCAAGGCAAGCGCTCTACCACTGAGCCATCTTCCCAGCCCCTTGAGAACCATTTATCTACAAAACCAAGAAAAACTGAGTAGAGTAGCTTTAAATACTGAAACAGTAAGATGCCACCACAGGTTTTGAATTAGAGTATGTTATAGATATTAAATGTTTGATACTGATATTTCCATGATGTCAGTTTATAGGATTGATGACGGAGAGGCCTTTAGTCAGGGAGGTAGAAAAAAGCCGTTGAAATAGTAAGAGAGCTGTGAAATCGAGTGTATGGGCTAGAGTGGTGGATCTAAAACAAAAGGAGGAATAAAAGAAGTTTGTCAGGGCTAGGAATGTGGCTTATTGGTAGAGTGCTTACCTAGCATGCATGAAGCCCTGGATTTGATTCCTCAGTACCCCATAAACAGAAAAAACTGGAAGTGGCACTGTGGCTCAAGTGGTAGTGTTAGCCTTGAGCAAAAGGAGCTCAGGGACAGTGCCCAAGCCCTGAGTTTAAGCCCTAGGCCAGGCCAAAAAAAAAATAAAAGAGGTCTATCAAAATTATTTGTTAAAACAACTTAAGGTAGGTAATTATAGTCTTAAGATGTGAACAATCTCTAAAATGAGTTGACCATAGAAATTTGGGAGATAGTTTTTCAAACTGTATTAAAAAGTTAAGGCATTAGCCAGGGTGCCAGTTCCTATAAACCTAGCTACTCAGGAGGTTGAGATCTATGATTCAAAGCTAGTCTTTGCAGGAAATTCTGTGAGACTCTTATCTCCAGTTACCCACCAGAAACCTGGAAGTAGAGCTGTAGCTCAAGTGGTAGTATTCCTATCCTTGAACAAAAAAGCTGAGGGATAGAATTCAGGCCCTGAGTTTGGCCCCAGGACCAGTATCAATTAGAATGGGTGGTACGGGTCCACTGTATCTTGACTGAAATTCCGAAACACCGTGAAAATGTGACATGAGCTATTTTAGTTTTCATTTGTCCTGCTTAATGTGCATATTTATACATTGTACATCTTATTTAGAAATGTTGGAGTAAGCCAGGTGATAGTGGCTCACTCCTGTAATCCTAGCTACTCAGCAGACTGAGATCTAAGGATTGCGGTTCAGAGCAGGCCTGGGCAGGAAAGTCTGTGAAACTCTTATCTCCAACTAACCATCTAAAAACCAGAATTTGCGCTGTGGCTCAAGTGGTAGAGCACTTGGCCTTGAGCTGAAGAGCTGAGGGATAGTACCCAGGTCCAGAGTTCAAGCCCCACCACCGACAAAAAAAAATGTTGGAGTATAGAAGGTATTGTGGACTTGTAGTAAAATGAACTTTTTTGAGCACTTGTGTGTGTGTGTGTCTTTGTTTAATTTGTAACAAAGCCTTACAGACAGGTGCAAACAATAAATCCTCTTTTGCAACCTAGAACTCATTGCTGATACGAGATTTTGGTACATGGAATAAGAAATATGATTCCTACAACAGTTGGTTTGTTAACTCTCACTTGTTGCTTTGAGAATAAAGTTGATATAAAAGCAAAAATTTAAAAGTCAATACCAAAAAATTTTTTTTAGGAATTTTAGATATTTAATTTTCTTTCAAACAGTGGAGTTCAGTCCTTTATGACTTGGTAACATAGTTCACCTTACATACTTTTGAGAGTTTAATAGACGGCCATCAAAAGCTAAAAATGTATGAATTTTCTCAAATTAAAAAACTTTTGTAGTTTGTTAGCAGACTATCTAGAAGTAATAACCCAAGGAACATGAAATTTTACACTACTTAATATCACTCAGCTATCCCTCTCTGTTCTCATGAGAGCATATACATAGTTTTACATGGTTCTCACTGTTACTGTTTGGGTGTCTTTTTTTTCCTATGGGTCATTTTGTTGAAAATTTCCCACTTATTGCTAAAATCATTGCTTGTGTGTTTGGTTTTGTTTTTTTGAGACAGGGTCTCACTATGTTGCAACAGCTAGCCTCAAACTCATGATCCTTCTGTCTTAGTCTCCCAAGTACTGGTATTGAAGGTGTGGATCATTTTGCCCACTTTTGTCATTGTCTGGTATTGAAGATGTGGATCACTTTGCCCACTTTTGTCATTGTCATTTTTGATAATTAAACTCTCCAGACTGTAATATGTTATATTTACTTAGACATTTTATTTGAGTACTGATATACTGACTCTCTAACACCTTTTTTTTTTTGTCAGTCATGGTGCTTGAACTCTGGGCTGGGCTGTCCCTCAGCTCTTCATCTCAAGGCTAGCACTGTACCACTTGAGCCACAGTGCCACTTCTGGTTTTCTGAGTGGTTTATGGGAGAGAAGAGTCTCACAGCCTTTCCTGCCCGGGCTGGCTTTGAACCATGATCCTCAGATCTCAGCCTCCTGAGTAGCTAGGATTACAAGTGTGAGCCACTGGTGCCTGGCCACCATATTGTTTTTAAATTGACACATCCACTCTTTACAGTATTTCAGTTTCTTTAAAAAAATGTAATGATGATTATCTTCCTCTGGAGGAGGAGGAGTTGATTTACCTGTGCCTTGGTTATACTGTGGAATCAAAATTAATCATTTAAACTTAGCTCTTAGGTTCTTTTGCCAGTACTGGGGCTTCAACTCAGGGCCTGTGTGATGTCCCTGAGCTTCTTTTGCTCAAGGTTAACATTCTTACCACTTGAGCCAGACCACTACTTCTTGCTTTTTCTGAGTCATGTTTTGGAGAAAAGAGTCTCATAGACTTTCCTGCTCAGGCTGGCTTCAAACCGTCATCTTCATATCTCATACAATCTTTTTGAGTATCTAGGTTTACAGGTGTGAACCACTCGTACCTGGCAGCTCTTAGTTTTACTTACTATAATTCCTCTACTAAAAGCTGGTCTGTTAATTTGTGTGTGTGTGTGTGTGTATAGAAGGGGATTATAATTATGATCATTTAACACTACTTTTACTCTTTAAATTTTTTTAATTATACGATAGTACATGTGCATATTATTTTCTTTCCAGATTGAGAGCAGTATCTAAGAATGGTAGTTTTTAATTCCTTTGATGTTTCTTGTTCAAACTGTATATGCTTTGTATTGAGATCCCATTAATTTATAATTGGCCTTGCTTTTATCTTGACCTTTGTCTTGTAAATTAATTTTCTTTATCTGAAAAGATAGCTTTATAAATTACAGGCAAGATCCCAACCCATATTTCTATTTTTCTTGCTACTCTCTGCATTTCATTTTTTTCTTTTCTCCCCTATCTCTTCTCCCCTTCCCTTTTCCTTCTCCTCTTTTTCTATTTCCATTTTCTTCCTTTTTTATTTAAATTTTAGCTTAGTTCATTAATTCTGTTTTTAGGTCGGATGATGAACAGAGCTCTGCGGATAAAGAGAGACTTGCCAGGTAGGAGAACAGTGTTGCTTAGCATGATGAAGCAGATGCTGCTGCTTTTGTATCCTTTTTCTTACTCTATCTTTCCCCCTTTCTCTTTGTATTCTTCCTTATCTATGGCAAGAGAGGACAAGAGTTTTTAGAAGTTTGGGTGTAACAGGAACTTTGGCTTCCTCCCATCAGAAAGTGGGTGAGTTGAGGGAACTTTACTTAGGAATTTAAGAATTTGCTATTTTACCTTTCTTTTTTTTCTTTCTCAGCAAGTTTCACAGAAACAAAAGGATTTAGAAATAATATAGCTGTGTTAGTGCTTTAACAGGAAAATATATTCTATTAGAAAACTAATATAAATATATCTATATTTGCCATTGTTCTCAGAATTTAGGCCTCAGTATTTACACCATACATCTCTAGAATACTCATTTTTATTTTCCTGTGTAGATTCATAGTATAGACTACTATGCCACAATAGAATTAATGTTGCTTTGGTGATTTAGTCCTCATTTGTGATTTCCCAGGAACATATTTAACTGTCTTGGCAAGGCTAATCAAAAGATCAGGTTTCAGCTGGTTACATGTGGGCCATGCCTGTAATCCTAGCTACTCAGGAGGCTGAGAGCTCAGAATTGCAGTTTAAAGCCAGCTTGGGCAGGAGAGTGAGTGATATCCTTATCTCCAGTTAACCAGAAAAAAACCCCAAGTGGAGCTGTAGCTCAAGTGGTAGACTTGAGCACAAAAGATCAGGGATGGATGATGTCCAGACACTGTGGTCAAGCCCAGGACTGGACTGGCACCAAAACCCCCCCCAAAAACAAGTTTCTGTACTTCACCGTCAAAAATCTGCCAGATACTAGGAAGATGAGTACATGAAATTTGAGTAGAATTTTCCATGTTTTCAGCAAAGTAACTAAATATGGACCTCCATGATGAGACTTTGCCATTTGAAAATAAGACTCAAGAATTTCTTTGGAGCCAGGTGCCTATAATACTAGCCACTCAGGAGGCTGAGATCTGAGGATTGTGGATTGAAGCTTGCCTAGATAGGAAAGTTTGTAAGACTTTTTATTTAACCACCAAAAAAGCTGGTAGAATGCTAGCTTTGAGAAAAAAAAAAGCCAGGGACAGAGCCCAGGCCAGTTCAGGTACCAGGACTAGTACCAAAAAAAAAAAAGTAAAAAAGAATCTCTTTGGAGACTTTTGTCTATAACATGGAAGTAGTTCCATCTCCCCAAACATTTGCCTCTGATCTGTCTGGTTTATGATGCCTTAGTAGGAAATATATTGTTGGTATAAACACCTATTTTTTATTATTTGCCTCTCTAATTTATCATATTTCCAATCAAGCTGAGCAACAAACTCAGTTTGATGCATTTCAACCTATGCTGCTGCTATTGCTTTTATACTTAAGAAAGGCTTTTCTACATGATGCTGTGAAGAAAGCATTACATTTTGCATGAGAGGAACCTTGGGGAAAGTCACTTAACTACTTGGCCTCAATCTGATCATTACTCATTAAAAGTAAATTTATTTATTTATTTATTTTTTCTGCTTATGTGGTGCTGAGGAATCGAACCCAGGGCCTCATGCATGCAAGGCAAGCGCTGTACCACTGAGCCACCTTCCCAGCCCCTAAAAGTAAATTTAGATTAGCTTATAGATTAGGAGTTTTTTTCCTTAAACAACTTTTGTTCAGAAAGCATCATTAAGTGGTAATAGAAGCAAAGTGATAAAGCAAAGGTGTTTAAGTAGAAGCAGAAATGCAGCATGTTGTTTGTTTCTCTCCTTGAGGAATCCTAATGGAGGATACTGAGCAGCCTAGGTTTTTCAGAATTGGTGTTTGAAAACTGAATTATTCCACTTAAAATTGTAATATAAAGCTAGGCATGAGGGCTGGGAAGGTGGCTCAGTGGTAGAGTGCCTGCCTTGTATGCATGAGGCCCTGGGTTTGATTCCTCAGCACCACATAAGCAGAAAAAGCCGGAAATGGGGCTGAGGCTCAAGTGGTAGAGCACTAGAGTGCTAGCCTACAGCTGAAGAGCTGAGGGACAGCGCCAAGGGCCAGAGTTCACGCCCCACGACCGACAAAAAAAAAAAAGCTAGGCAGGAGTGGCTCACACCTATCAATTCAGGAGACTGAGACCTGAGGATCACATTTCAAAGCCAGCTTCAGCAAGAAAGTCCATGTGACCTTTCTCTAGTTGACCACCAAAACCAGAAGTGGAGCTGTAACTCAAATGGTAGAATGCTAGCCTTGAGCAAAAAAGGTCAGGGAATGCACCTATGTCCTAAATTCAAGCCATGGGACCACAATAAACAAAAACAACAACAATAAAAAAGTGGTAGGGGGCTGGGAAGGTGGCTCAGTGGTAGAGCGCTTGCCTCCCATGTATGAGACCGTGGTTTTGATTCTTCAGCACAACATAAAGCAGAAAAAAACTGGAAGTGGTGCTGTGGCTCAAGTGGTAGGGTGCTAGCCTTGAGCTGAAGAGCTGAGGGCCGATGCCCAGACCCCATGACCAACCCACCTCTCCCCGCCACCCCTTCAAAAATGGTATCCTTCTGTCTCAATTTTGAGCAAGTTATTGTTAGAGAAGTACGCTACTGAACCTGGTAAGATCTAAATTGTATCTCTCCAGGCCTTTAAAGCACCCTCTTTCTCCCTATTCTACCCTTAACTCCAGTTCTCTTTGTTTTAGACTGGCAACCCATACATTTTACAGTCTCTCTTTTTTATTTTTCCAGTCCTGGGGCTTGAACTCTGGGCCTGGGCACTGTCCCTCAGCTCTTCAGCTTAAGGCTAGTGCTACCACTTGAGCCACAGCGCCACCTCTGATTTTCTGGTGGTTTATTGGAAATAAGAGTCTCACAGACTTACCTGCCCAAGCTGGCTTTGAACCATGATCCTCAGATCTCATCCTCCTGAGCAGCTAGGATTATAGGAATGAGACACTGGCAGTGCCTGGCTACAGTCTCTTTTAAGAAGTTCAGTGCACTGGCACCACACCTAGTTAAAGCAGATAGGATTTTGTGAATTAGGATAAATAATTTTTTTTTTTGCCAGTCTTGGGGCTTGAACTTAAGGCCTGAGCGCTGCCTCTGAGCACTTTTGCTCAAGGCTAGTGCTCTACCTGGGCAGACTTTGAACTGTGATCCTCAGATCTCAGCCTCCTGAGATCTAGGATTACATGTATAAGCCACCAGCACCTGGAAGATATATAAAACTTAAGACTCTTACATTTCTGTTTTCAGTGTCATTAAGAGACATTTATAACAAAGCAACATTTTTTTTCCCTCCCCCCCCTTTCCAAAGCAACATTTATAGCCCACAGGAACCTATCTTTTTTTTTTTTTTGGCTTGGGGCTTAAACTCTGAGCCTGGGCACTGTCCCTCAGCTCTTTAGCTCAAGACTAGTGCTCTACCACATAAGCCACAGTGCCACTTCTGTCTTTCTGGTGGTTTATTGGAGGTAAGAGTCTCACGGACTTTCTTGCCTGCCTGCGCTGGCTTTGAACTGTGATCCTCAGATCTCAGCCTCCTGAGTAGCTAGGATTACAGACGTGAGCCACCAGCACCCAGCTCCTATAATTTCTTATATCAGCTATTGAGCAACATACTTGAATTGGCAAAAATTGGTCATTTAATTTTCTGGTCTTCAAACAACTTAATTGGTAAACATGGAGTCATTCAAGCTAAGATTCTTTTTCTCCTTAAATGAATTTGGCTGGGAAGTTGGCTCAGTGGTAGAGTGCTTGCCTTTCATGCATGAAGCCCTGAGTTCCATTCCTCAGTACCACATTAAGCAGAAAAAGCCAGAAGTGGTGCTGTGGCTCTAGTGGTAGCGCATTAGCCTTGAGCTGAAAAGCTAAGGGACAGCGTCTAGGTCCAAAGTTCAGGCCCCACAACCAACAAAAAGCAAAAACAAACAAAGAAACTTAAGTAAATGAACTCAACACTTAAAAATACTACCTTTCAGCCGGGCGCTGGTGGCTCACGCCTGTAATCCTAGCTACTCAGGAGGCTGAGATCTGAGGATCGCGGTTCAAAGCCAGCCCGGGCAGGAGAGACCGTGAGACTCCTATCTCTAATAAACTACCAGAAAACCGGAAGTGGCGCTGTAGCTCAAGTAGTAGAGAGCTCGCCTTGAGCTGAAGAGCTGAGGGACAGCGCACAGGCCTAGAGTTCAAGCCCCATGACCGACAAAAAAAAAACAACTACCTTTCTTTTTTGTTCTGAGGTAATATAATTTACATAGGAAGTGAAGTTGCCAGGGAGAGAGGGAATTGAGGTGTCTGCTTGCTCTTTGTCTTTCTACCTTGTTAGTTTCTATTCTATGCCTGCTCTGCATGAGATTGGCAAACTTTACTTTTAACTTCCGACACTTAAGCATCATTAAACTAAATACTGCATTCTTCAGCAGCACGCTTGGTAACCATTTCACTGTCCCTGAGACCAAATGATCTTATGTGACCACCTGGATGGATCTTCTTTCTCTTTCCATGTAGGGAAAATCACAGTGAGATTGAACGGCGGCGACGGAATAAGATGACAGCTTACATCACAGAACTATCAGACATGGTACCCACTTGTAGTGCCTTGGCTCGAAAACCAGACAAGTTAACCATCTTGCGCATGGCAGTTTCTCACATGAAGTCTTTGAGGGGAACTGGAAATACATCCACTGATGGGTCCTACAAGCCATCTTTCCTCACTGATCAGGTATCAGACTTAAAACTGTGAGAGAGTAGATTCTGGGTGAATCGAGTGAAACTTTTGATTTCTTTGATTTGATTTTTTTAATAAGAATTTAGTTACTCAGGGAAAATGCAGATCATGGAAAAATGAATTTTAGTCCTTAGCTGAATAAGCTTTGGGTAGTAAGAAAAGAGTTATGGAATCTATTTAGCAAATTAATAGGATTTTACAACTTAATTCATAAATGTAGCCTGTAAAGGTAGAAAACAAGTGACATCCAAGAGAGTAGATAACTCTGTACATGGATCACTTTTCTTCCTTGGCTTTACAAAGGATGGAAGAAATCTGTTTCTAGGGATTTTTGTTGGTAATACTGGAGTTTAAATTCTGGTCTTTGTACTTAGTACGTAGGCATTTTATGCCCAGCAGCACATCCAGCTCTATTTTCTGCTGTCATTGCCCCCCCCTCCCCCGCAGCTCTGTCATGGGGCTTGAACTCTGGACCTGTATGTTGTCCCTCAGCTCTTCATCTCAGGGCGAGTGTTCTACCACTTGAGCCACAGTCCCACTTTTGGTTTTCTGAGTGGTTTATTGGAGATAAGAGTCTCATGGAGTTTCCTGCCCTGGCTGGCTTTGAACCTCGATCCTCAGATCTCAGCCTCCTGAGTAGCTAGGATTACAGGTGTGAACCACTGGTACCTGGCTTGTTTTTTTTTTTTTTTTTTTTTATTTATTATTTATTTTTTGGGACCGGTCGTGGGGCCTGAACTCTGGGCCTGGGTGCTGTCCCTCAGCTCTTCAGCTCAAGGCTAGCACTCTACCACTTAAGCCACAGCACTACTTCCAGCTTTTTTCTTTTTGCTTATGTGGTGCTGAGGAATCGAACCCAGGGTCTCAGGCATGCAAGGCAAGCGCTCTACCACTGAGCCACCTTCCCAGCCCCATTGGTTATTTTTTTAAGGGCAGTAAAAGGAGATTTATCATATGACAGCTATTGGAAGACAGCATTTCAGTACATCTTCAGCTGTTTTCAGAGGTATAGATATTGGCCTCAGGTTTGATAGAGAGAATTGAGGACAGAATGTGAGAAAGTTATGCATAGTTAAAACAGTCCTAGGTCACAGGTGTGTGGCCTGCTTTGAGATTAGCTCAGTCTTTGTCCTTGGAAGAGTTCCATAGAATTGATCTCTTGAGTTTTGGGCTATTTGCTTTAAGATAATAAGAAGGCATTGCTTTCCACACAACTTGGTTATTACTGAATTTTCTCTGGGAATTTTTCTCTGCCTTTTGGGAAAGATTCTTAAATATAATAGTTAATTTTCTCTCAGTACATATGTAAATGTTGGTTTAACAAACTAGTTATATACATCTTTTGTGGGCAAGCCAGGTGCTTTGTGCTGTGAGACATATAAAGAAGGTAAACTATTTACTGGTAGAAAAGATAAAAAATAATCTAAATTTTAATTAGAATAAATTTTAGGAAGTGGTACTGTAGCTCAAGTGGTAGAGCTTTGAGCAACAGAGCTCAAGGACGCACCCAGGCCATGAGTTCAAGCCCCTCAGTTGATCCCCCAAAATAATTAATTTTTAGGCAATAAACAACCAGAAAAAAGATTAGTTTCACTTTAAGGATGGATTAGAGAATGCAGAAACAGACCATTTCATTAGTTTTATTATAACTTAGACAGTCACATGGTATTGGGAAATAGAATTGATTACAGTTATCACTGTGGTATGAGGGAGAGTAGTTGAAAATTTTAAGGTTCCTAGCTTTGGAGGATGTGGTTAATCAAGAAAAGGAACGCTGGAAGTGCATAGAATATTGTATTTTTTTTGAAATTGATATAATGATTGTGGTTTTGAAATGTTGCTACTCAGCTGTTGGTATAATACTTACATGGAAATGTTTAACAGATACCTAGAAATCATATTTGCTGAGAGAGTCGTCTAGGAATGTAGATTTCATTATCATTTTATGGTGGGAGGCATAGGTATCACTTCCTGGGAAGAAGGATGGTATGAATAAAGAATTGAACCTAGGAAATGTCTATATGAAAGAAATGAACAAAGAAAAAGCAGTTTGGAGCAGAGTTTGAAGCAAAAAATAGTAATAAAGAAAATAAGAAAATAAAAATTTAAGGATAGAATAGACAAGATCAGATTCTGTACAGATTGAATTAAAAAAAAAATAGTAGAGTGCTTGCCTTGCATGCATGAGGCCCTGGGTTCCATTCCTTAGTACACATAAGCAGAAAAAGCCGGAAGTGGTGCTGTGACTCAAGTGGTAGAGTGCTAGCCTTGAGCTGAAGAGCTGAAGGACAGCGCCCAGGCCCGGAGTTCAGGCCCTACAACCGACCCCCCCCCCCCAAAAAAAAAAAAAAAAAAGATCTAGGAGAAGGGACTTGAATTGGCAACTAGAAGGACATTTTGAGACTTTGAATTTAAGCCCTGATAGCATATATAAAAGTAATCTACTGTAGTGGAAGTTGAGAAATAAGTGAAAAGCAAGAGAACAGACCCATTATATTTATAGCATTATTCTCAGTATACAATTAGCACTGAATACTCAGAATAAATTGAGGGAAGACTGAAAAAACATTTTGTTTATTGGCTTGAAGGTAAAGAGAGAAAATAAGGTCAAGCGCCAGAGGCTCATGCCTGTAATCCTAGCTACCGAGGGATCTGAGGAGCTGAGATCTGAGGATCATGGTTCTAAGCCAGTTGAGGCAGGAAAGTCCAGGAAAATCCATGAGACTCTTATCTCCAATAAATTATGGAAAAAGTCCATGAGACTCTTATCTCCAATAAATTATGGAAAAAGCTAGAAGTGGTGCTGCGGCTCAAGTGGTAGAGTGCTAGCCTTGAGCAAAAGGAGCTTAGGGCCAGTATCCAGGCCCAGAGTTCAAGATCTAGGACTTGCGAGAGCGAGAGAGAGAATGAAGATATTTGTCAAGAAGATCCTAAAAAGAGGATGAGTTTAAGAAGTCAGTTATTGTTGGTGGGAAATCTTTTTTTTTTTTTTGTCGGTCGTGGGGCTTGAACTCTGGGCCTGGGCGCTGTCCCTCAGCTCTTCAGCTCAAGGCGAGCGCTCTACCACTTGAGCCACAGTGCCACTTCCGGTTTTCTGGTGGTTTATTGGAGATAGGAGTCTTACGGTCTCTCCTGCCCGGGCTGGCTTTGAACCGAGATCCTCAGATCTCAGCCTCCTGAGTAGCTAGGATTACAGGCGTGAGCCACCAGCGCCCGGCTTGGGAAATCTTTTTTATTCCTCCTTTGAGTCTTGAGATGGATTGGAGGAAGAGGTGGATAGTGACAGAAAAATTGTGGACATAATGAAAATCATTATATTTAAGGTAGAAAATGGTGGCTGTGGATTGATCAGATATGAGCCAGGAGTTGTTTAAAATGAAATATATATGTCCTGAAGCAGATCTTGCTTAATAGAAATAATTATTTTTCAGAGTTCATTATTAACTTTCATTTCTTTTCCTTGACCAGGAACTGAAACATCTGATCTTGGAGGCAGCAGATGGCTTTCTGTTCATTGTCTCATGTGAGACAGGTCAGGTAGTGTATGTCTCTGATTCAGTGACTCCTGTTTTGAACCAGCCACAATCTGAATGGTTTGGCAGCACACTGTATGATCAAGTGCATCCAGATGATGTAGATAAACTCCGCGAGCAGCTTTCCACTTCAGAAAATGCCCTGACAGGTGAGAGCTATGTGGATGACAAATAAATGGGAAGTTCTTTTTTTTTTTTTTTTTTAATGTATAAGAGGATTTAAATTCTTTTTTTTTCTTTTTTCTTTTTTTCTTTTTCTTGCCAGTCGTGGGGCTTGAACTCAGGGCCTGGGCACTATCCCTGAGCTTCTTTTGCTCAAGGCTAGCACTCTATCACTTGAGCCACAACATCACTTCCAGCGTTTTCTGTGTATGTGGTACTGAGGAATCGAACCCAGGGCTTCATGCCTGCTAGGCAAGCACTTTACCACGAGGCTACCTTCCCAGCCCAGGATTTAAATTCTTAAATTGGTTTGTTGGATCTGTCAAAGCTTTAGCATATAATCAATTATCATTTTTTTTTACATTTTTTATTATTATATCTTTAAATAGTTGTACAAAGAAGTTCCCATTCTACAAAATAGTATATGAGTACAAGGTCCTGACAACATTGTCACCCATCGCTCCTAACCCATCCCTTCTCTCACTTTTTTTTTTTAATTGAGATTAAGTGATTACATAAATTTCACATATTTCACAGTATTGTGGAATAGTGATACTTAGTTAAAGACACAAACACATTTTAACCTTCACAAGGCAAATTGTCATTATCATAGTCTATAAATTTTGTGAATTCTATGAGCTTTGACAATACAAATTATTTCTTCCATATCAGGTGATGATTACATTTCTTTCCTTTTGCTTAGTGTAGGCTGTTCCCTCTTTCCTTCTTATTCCTCCCTTCCCATCACTAGCTTTGGGCTGCTTAGTTATTTTTCTTCTATGTCCAGTGCAGCTGATGGGCCCCTTTGTTATATGTTGTTCCATTTCCCACTTACTCTGTTCCTCCTTCAGATTATCTACTCTATGGCTCATTCCTTTTTTTTGTCGGTCATGGGACTTGAACTCTGGGCACTGTCCCTGAGCTCTTCAGCTCAAGGTGAGCACTCTACCACTTGAGCCAAGCATCACTTCCAGTTTTCTGGTGGTTGATTGGAGCTAAAAGTCTCATAGACTTTCCTGCCCCAGCTGGCTTTGAACTGTGATTCTCAGATCTCAGCCTCTTGAGTAGCTAGGATTACAGGCGTGAGCCACTGGTGCCCGGCTTCTATGGCTCATTCTTTTTTTTTGGTCGGTCGTGGGGCTTGAACTCTGGGCCTGGGCGCTGTCCCTCGGCTCTTCAGCTCAAGGCGAGCGCTCTACCACTTGAGCTACAGCGCCACTTCCGGTTTTCTGGTGGTTTATTGGAGATAGGAGTCTCACGGTCTCTCCTGCCCGGGCTGGCTTTGAACCGCGATCCTCAGATCTCAGTCTCCTGAGTAGCTAGAATTACAGGCGTGAGCCACCAGCGCCCGGCTCTATGGCTCATTCTTATAAAAAGGTTTCATTAGTGATTGTGCTCATGTAAAACTTATGTTTATCTTAATGTTATAATAAAATCATTAAATTGAAATTCATTGTGAGATCTACAATTATGATTTAGCATAGCAGTGTTCAAGTGCTGAGGCTTTTATTTCTGTCAGAGGAATTAACATCTTAAATCCATCCAAGTTTATCCTTTGTTTTGGGCAGCAAAACACACACACACACACACACACACACACACACACACACACACACACACACACACACACACACACACACACACACACACACACACACACACACACACACACACACACACACACACACACACACACACACACACACACACACACACACGTTTGTGGGGTTTGAACTCTGGGCCTGGGCACTGCCCTCAGCAAAACACACACACACACACACACACACGTTTGTGGGGTTTGAACTGCCCTCAGCAAAACACACACACACACACACACACACGTTTGTGGGGTTTGAACTCTGGGCCTGGGCACTGCCCTCAGCTCTTCAGCTCAAGGGGAGAACTCTGCCACCTGAACCATTGTGCCACTTCGTGTTTTCTAGTGGTTAATTGGAGATAAGAGTCTCACGGATTTTTCTGCCTGGACCAGCTTTGAACTGTGATCCTCAGATATCTGCTTCCTGAGTAGCTAGGATTATAGGCGTGAGCCACTGGTGTCCAGCTCACATATTTTTTCTTTTTCCTTTTTTTTTTTTTTTTTGAATGCAGGGTCAGGACATTGTCACTTAGCTTTTGCATAAAGTTGGCACTCTACTACTTGAGACATAGTTCTACTTCTGTCTTTTTGGTGGTTCATTGGGGATAAATTGAGTTTCATGGACTGAACATTCCTGACTTTTTTTGTGCTTGTATGCATTTCATTTTTTACAGTTTTTCCTTTTCCTCAAAAGGTACCCTTGCTTTCTATAAATAAAAGAGAGAAACAATTTTGATTTCAGACAGATGTATATTCTGTAGCATATAAAATTAATGTAGTATTAACTATGTATTTGTCTTTATGTAAAAACAATCAGGAGCTTGGAACTGGTGGCTCCCTACTGTAATACTAGATACTTTAGGAGACTGAGACCTAGAAGATAATGGTTGAAAGCCAGCTTGAGACTCCATCTCCAAGTAACTAGCCAAAAAATCAGGGTTATGGTTCAAGTAGTAGACCACCAGTTGTGAGTGGAAAATCAGATGAGTGGAGTATGAGGCGCTGGAGTTCAAGCCCTAGTACCAGCAAAACCCCAAAACAACAAAAACAAAACGAATCAGACCTAAGAATGTATTCTTGCCTCTTTACAATAGCTTCCTTTATACAAGGTTTTTTCAGTGTTGTGTTTGAATTTACAGTGAAATTCATAGATGAGAGTAGAAATAGTTTGTTTCAAAAAATCATCTCCTGGCGTGGCCTATTCTGCTATATGCAAGGAAGTTGGAGGGCATTGGTAGGATGCTCACTTATCTTGGCCTCCAGTATTTCTCCTTTTGTTCCCTATTCATGAGAATGCACTCCAGATTGTTCTTCCCATCCTTCTTTAGGGCGTATCCTGGATCTGAAGACTGGAACAGTGAAAAAGGAAGGTCAACAGTCTTCCATGAGGATGTGTATGGGCTCAAGAAGGTCATTTATTTGTCGAATGAGGTGAATGAGAGGATTGGATTGTGAATTGGGGGAACAGAGGGGAGGGGAAGAAGGGAGAGAGGCAGAAAGGATTGGGCATTTAGGGGTTTTTGATGAGTTGAATGCTATTTTTGTTTTTTGGGGGATAGTGTATTCCTATAATACTCAGGCTGGCCTTAAATTCACTATGTAGCCCAGGCTGGCCTCAAACTTGGAATCTTTTTCTCAGTTTTGTATATATGCATGTGTACCCATGTATATGTACTGGGACTTGAACTCAGGACCTCGGTGTTCTTCCTTAGCTTTTTCACTTAAGGTTACCACTTGAGCCATACCCCTCCTTTGGGCTCTTTTTGGTAGTGAATTGGAAATAAGAGTCTCATGGACTTTGCTGTCTGTCCCAGCTAGCTTCAGACTGTAGTACTCAGAACTCAGCCTCCTGAGTAGCTAGGAATACAGGTGTAAGCCCAGCATTGCCTCAGCCTCTTGAATTCTGGGATTACATTTGGGCATCACCACATTTGGCTTAAGAAAATGCATTTCTGGGTTGGGAAGGTGGCTCAGTGGTAGAGCGCTTGCCTTGCTTGCCTGAGGCCCTGGGTTCAATTCCTCAGCACCACATAAGCAAAATGAAAAAAGCTGGAAGTGGCGCTGTGGCTCAAGTGGTAGAGCGCTAGCCTTGGGCTGAAGAGCTGAGGGACAGCGCCCAGGCCCAGAGTTCAGGCCCCACGACTGGACACCCCCCCCCAAAAAAAAAAAAAGAAAAGAAAAGAAAATGCATTTCGTCATGTTATAAAATGAGTTCAGGTTGTATAATAGAAACATTGTACTGACAAGTTACATATATGGTAGAAATGATGTTAGAAGATTAAAGATGTAAAATTGATATTATATGGCTTAGTGGTTTAGAACAGCCTGTGAATTCAAACTGCTGAGTTTTGTTTTCGTGTACTCAGATTGATCTTGAATTCCTGGACTCAGGTGATTTTCTCACTTCAGCCTCTTGAGTAGCTTTAGACTACAGAGTTGGGTCACAATACCTGGCTGAGTTTGGTTTTATTTATTTATTTTTTTGGGTCGGTCGTGGGGCCTGGGCGCTGTCCCTCAGGTCTTCAGCTCAAGGCTAGCGCTCTACCACTTGAGCCACAGCGCCACTTCCGGTTTTTTTCTTTTTGCTTATGTGGTGCTGAGGAATTGAACCCAGGGCCTCAGGCATGCAAGGCAAGTGCTCTACCACTAAGTCACCTTCCCAGCCCCTGACATTGTTTTCTGAAACAGTGGACAGATTGTATGACTTCTTTAGGCTTTGATTTTATCATCTAATATTGAGAGGTAATACTAATTACTGACTTCAAAAAGTTGTTAGGAAAGCTGGGCCCTGGTAGTTCACGCCTGTAATCCTAGCTACTCAGGAGGCTGAGTTCTGAGGATCTCGGTTCAAAGCCAGTTCAGTTACAAAAGTCACTCTTAGCTCTAATAAACCACCAGAAAATTGGAAGTGGCGCTGTGGCTCAAGTGGTACAGTGCTTGTCTTGAGCTGAAGACCTCAGGGACAGCAACCAGGCCCAGAGTTCAAGCCCCACAATGGACCAAAAAAAAATAAAATAAAGTTAGGAATTAGTATATGTAAAGATATTTAGAAAAGAGCTTGTCCCATATAAGAATTTACATACATGGTGTCTTTATGTTTTAAAGAAAAAAGAAGGAAAGTAGGGTTTAGAAGGATGTGCTGACATTTGGACATGGCTATAGAAGGAAAAAGAGGATAACTAGTAATGAAATGTAGCAAATGTAAAGCAGAAAGAAATCAGCAGACTGCCACTCTTTTATTTGTAAATTAAGTTTTTTTTTGGGTTCGGTTGTGGGCCTGAACTCTGGGCCTGGGCGCTGTCCCTCAGCTCTTAAGCTCAAGGCAAGTGCTCTACCACTTGAGCCACAGTGCCACTTCCGGCTTTTTTCTTTTTGCTTATGTGGTGCTGAGGAATTGAACTCAGGGTCTCAGGCATGCAAGGCAAGCGCTCTACCACTGAGCCACCTTCCCAGCCCCTGTAAATTAAGTTTTATTGGAACATAGTCATTCTTTTTTGCTACTTTTATGGTGCAATGTCAGGGTTGACTAGTTGCAAAGTCTGGCCCATAAAGCTGAAAGTATCTGGTCCTTTATAGTCTATCAACTTGTGATACAGATAATCTTTGCATTTGAAGAGCATATGTAACATTTTCAACTTCAAATTCTAGTCAGTTATAACTTTTAGAAATTCTAAATCTGAATTTTATCATACTTTATTGATGAGCAGTTTTCTGTGTCTAGCTGTATCCAGAGTCTGCTGTTGTAGTATGAAAGGTTCACTCATTGTACAGCCATACTAGTTTGTGTTGGTTTTTTTTGCTTGAACTTAGGGCCTAGAGCCTCTTTGTGCTCAAGGCTAATGCTCTACCACGTGAACCGCAGCACCACTTCTGGCTTTTCTGAATAGTTTATAGGAGATAAGAGTCTCATGGTAACTTTTCTGCCCAAGTTGGCTTTGAACCTTAATCCTTAGATCTCAACCTCCTGAGTAGCTAGGATTACAGACGTGGCTCCCAGTACTGCCAGCCTTACTAGTTTTAATCTCTGTTCTAACAGATGTGGTAATAGCACTGTGGATCCAGTCACCATGAACAGACTGAGCTTTGTGAGGAACAGATGCAGGTAAGGTCCTAAACATTGAAGACCTAAGGGTTGGTAGAAAGCATCACTTAGAAATACAAAAAGCAGCCAGGTGCTGGTGGCTCATGCCTGTAATCCTAGCTACTCTAGAGGCTGAGATCTGAGGATCGTGGTTCAAAGCCAGCCCCGGCCAGAAAGTCCATGAGACTCATCTCCAAGTAGCCGCCAGAAAACCGGAAGTGGTGCTCAGGCTCAAGTGGTAGAGTGCTTGCCTTGAGCTGAAGAGCTCAGGGGCAGTGCCTAGGCCCAGTAGTTAAAGCCCCACAACTGACAAAAACAAAAAACAAAAAAAAAAGCAACCCAATTTACTATATTTCCTTTCCTTCCTCCCATCCTCTCTTTCCTCCCAGTTAAATTTTTTTTTTTTTTTTTGGCCAGTCCTGGGGCTTGATCTGAGCTGGGTGCTGTCCCTGAGCCTCTTTGTGCTCAAGGCTAAACAGAGCTGTACTACATGAGCCACAGTGCAACTTCTGGGTTTTTCTAGTTTCATGGACTTTCCTGCCCAGGCTGGCTTCAAACCATGATCCTCAGATCTCAGGTAGGATTATAGGAGTGAGCCATCAGCACCCAGCTCACAGTTACTTATTTTCTGGCAGTATTTTCTTTTTTGGGGGGGGGGGTAATTGGTGGGGGGTCCGGTCATGGGGCCTGAACTTGGCCTGGGCGCTGTCCCTCAGTATTTCAGCTCAAGGCTAGCGCTCTACTACTTGAGCCACAGCGCCACTTCCGGTTTTTTTCTTTTTGCTTATGTGGTGCTGAGGAATTGAACCCAGGGCCTCAGGCATGCAAGGCAAGTGCTCTACCACTGAGCCATCTTCCCAGCCCCTGGCAGTATTTTCTTGAACTTTGTTTTCCTAATTCTATTTAAGGAAGCTATACACTTTTTGCCTATTTTCCTCTTGCTTAAGTATGTTTTTAAGGTTTTTTTTGTTGTTGTTTGTTGTTTTCGTTTTTTGGGTAAACTTAGGACATTGAGCTCTTGCTTGGCTTTCTCACTCCTGGGTGCTCTATCACTTGAGCCAAACCTCCACTTCTGGATTTTTTTTGTGTGTATGTTGGTTGTGGGGCCTGAACTCTGGGCCTGGGCGCTGTCCCTCAGCTCTTCAGTTCAAGGCTAGTGCTCTACCACTTGAGCCACAGTGCCACTTCTGGCTTTTTCTGTTTATGTGGTGCTGAGGAATCGAACCCAGGACCACATGCATGCAAGGCAAGCACTCTACCACTGAGACACCTTCCCAGCCCCTAGATTTTTGCCGGTTAATTGGAGATATAAGAATCTTGGAGTTGGGCGCCGGTGGCTCACGTCTGTAATCCTAGCTACTCAGGAGGCTGAGATCTGAGGTAGTTCCAAGCCAGCCCTGGCAGAAAAGTCCATGAGACTCTTATCTCCAATAAACCACCAGAAAACCGGAAATAGTGCTGTGGCTCAAGCAGTAGAGGGCTGGCCTTGAGCTGAAGAGCTCAGGGACAGCGCCCAAGCCCAGAGTTCAAGCCCCACAACCAACAACAACAACAAAAAAGAATTGGGATATATCTGCCTAGGATAGGATGGTTCTGAACCTCAATCTTCTGATCTCAACCTCCTAAATAGTGATGATTATAGGTGTGAACTACTGGTGCCCTTCACTTCAGTATGTGTTGTTTTACTTTGGCAGTGGGTAAAATATGGTGGTCACTTCTGAGCAGCGAAGGTTCAAGCATTGACTGTCCTGTTTACTAAATACCCAAAGCCTAAAGATTACCTTTTAAGTTACCTTTTAAGATTTACATTACCTTTTAAGATTTACATTATAGAATGTCCCTACTGTCTTCTATAACACTTGTAGGAATGGACTTGGCTCTGTGAAGGATGGAGAACCTCACTTTGTGGTGGTCCACTGCACAGGCTACATTAAGGCCTGGCCTCCAGCAGGTAGGAAAGTTGAATTTCTCCTCTCATTTACTTAATTACTAAGAGAGTTCAGAAAAGTTTCACATTTAATTAATAGAATGTTCATTATATACTTGTTATATGATGTATCCTTTGGTATAAGCTATAAGAAGGTTGGATAAATAAATCAGGCTTCTTCCAATCTGTTCTTCAGTTGAGGGGATGGATTACTCATATTTAAAAGTGATTTAGAGGGGCTGGGAAGGTGGCTCAGTGGTAGAGCGCTTGCCTTGCATGCATGAAGCCCTGGGTTCGATTCCTCAGCACCACATAAGCAAAAAGAAAAAAGCCAGAAGTGACACTGGGGCTCAAATGGTAGAGCGCTAGCCTTGAGCTGAAGATCTAAGAGACAGTGCCCAGGCCCAGAGTTCAAGCCCCATGACCAACAAATACCACCCCCCCCCCCCTCCAAAAAAAAAAAGTTATTTAGTATTGCTGGGTGCCAATGGCTCACACCTGTAATTCTCTTTACTCGGAGGCTGAGATTTGAGGGTTGCAGTTCAAAGCCAGCTCAGGCAAGAAAGTCCCCATCTCCAATTAACCAGTAAAAAGCTGGAAATGTAGCTGTGTCTCAAGTGGTAGAGCACTAGCTTTTAGCATAAAAAGTTCAGGGATAGGTTCCAGGATCTGAGTTCAAGCTCAAGGACTGCCATAGGGGGAAAAAAAAGAAAGACGTGTTGGCTATGTTACAGAATGTAGTTGTCTGTTGGCCTTTTCAGTTGATTGATTGATTGATTGTGCCAGTCCTGGAGCTTGTACTCAGGGCCTGGCACTGTCCCTGCTTTTTTGTTCCAGGCTGGTACTCCTACTAGGGTTTGAACTCAAGACCTGTGCTTGCTAAGTCTGTGCTATTTGAGTCAACAATATAATTTTTAAATGTTTAAAATCATGCAAATGTACACATAATACATAATACACATAATATGTTCTAAGCAGTTGTTGCAAAGAAACATTGGTATTTAATTCAAGTAATTTGGGAAAGTAATTTGGGAAATGTAGTAGACATTGAGAGATAAAGAGAAAGTGGCTTGATTATAACACTTTTTTTTTTTTTTTTGCCAGTCCTGGAACTTGAACTCAGGGCCTGGGCATTGTCCCTGAATCTCTCTGTGCTCAAGGCTCACTCTACCACTTGAGCCATAGAGCCACTTCTGGTTTTTTTGGTTGTTAATTGGAGATAAGAATCTCATGAACTTTCCTGCCAGGGCTGGCTTTGAACTGCAATCCTCAGATCTCAGCCTCTTGAGTAGCTAGGATTACAGGTGTGAGCCATCGGCACCCGGTGCTTTTTCTGTTATGTGGTACTAAGGAATCGAACACAGGGCTTCATGCATGCTAGGCAAGCTCTCTACCACTAAGCCACATTCCCAGCCCACACCTTTTTGTGCATGTGTGTGTGTGCGTGCATTGTGTGTGTGTGTGTGTGTGTGTGTGTGTGTGCATGTGCATTACTGGGGCTTGAACTCAAGCCTTTGTTTTTTTGCATAGTTATTCCCCCAGGCTGATGCTTTACCAGTTGAATCACACCTTTGCCTCTGATATTTTTTTTTGCTGATTATTTGGAGATAAGTCTCTGGGACTTTTTTCTGTCTTGGCTGGCTTTGAACTGGGATCCTCAGATCTTAGCCTCCAGGTAGCTAGAATTTAGGTGTGAGCTACTGGTGCCCTGCACTGATAATAACAACATTTTTTTCTTTTCTGTCGGTTGTGGGGCATGAACTCTGGGCCTAGGCACTGGCCCTGAGCTCTTGAGCTCAAGGTGAGCACTCTACTACTTGAGCCACAGTACCACTTCCTGTTTTCTGGTGTTTAACTGGAAATAAGAGTGTCATGGTCTTTCCCGCCCGGGTTGGCTTTGAACTACAATCCCCAGATCTCAGCCTCCTGAGTAGGGAGGATTACAGGTGTGAGCCACCTGACCCTGCTTGACAGGAACAACTTTAAAACAGAGTTTCTTTCCAAAGACATGAAATCAAGCTGTAAGCAAAGTAGTATTTAAAGTTGAAGTCAAACAAAAGTTGAAGTCAAACAGAGCTGGTACCAGTGGCTCTTATGCCTATAATCCTAGCTACTCAGAAAGGTTAGATCTGAAGATTAAGGTTCAGAGGAAGCCTGCACAGACAGATCCACAACACTTGGGTCAGATCTGCAAGATTTCAATCCTTCTGTTTAATGCTTGGTTCCCCCAGACCTTGATCCTTCTGTTTTATACTTTCCATAATAATTGGGATGCCACCACATTCAGCTATTGGTTGAAAAAAAGTCTTGAGAATATGTTTGAGTTGGCCTCAAAGGAAAGTCCTCCAATTTCAGATTTCCATGTATCTGGGATGACAAGTGCACAGCACTCTTCACAGCTATTGTTTGAGAAGGGGATTGGGGGGGGGTAGTTCTTCTGGATAAATAGAAGATAACTCTAAATAATCATAGGGAAATGAATTCTTGTTCCATTTCCATATAAAACATTGACTTCTCTGTTTTCCAAAGGATATAAATAACTATAGATTGTTCCTTCCATTTTTTCTTTTTTTTGGTCAGTAGTGGGGCTTGAACTCTGGGCTTGGGGGCTGTCCCTGCGCTCTTCAGCTCCAGCCACAGCGCCACTTCTTTTTCAAGTGGTTTATTGGAGATAAGAGTCTCACGGACTTTTCTACCCTGGGTGGCTTTGAGCCATGATCCTCAGATCTCAGCCTTCTGGGTAGCTAGGATTATAGGCGTGAGCCGCCAGCGCCCTGCTTTTTTTTTTTTTTTGTCTTTTGGCTAATAGTACTGGGCTTGAACTCTAGGCCTTGAGCTTTTGCTTGGCTTTTTCTTACACAATTGGCACTATTATCACTTGAGCCATGTTTGTACTTCAGCTTTTTGTTGGTTAATTAAAGATAAGAAGTGTGTTTGTTTTGCCTGCCCAGGTTGGCTCTGAAGCTTGATTCTCAAATCTCAGCCTTCAGAGTCATTATGGTTATAGGCATGAGTCACTGTCGCTGCTTTGGTATACGTAGATTTTTATTTTATTTTATTTTTGGTTGGTTACTTCAGAAGTTACTGTTCTCAGCTTATGATAGGGTCACAGAGTGACTGCCTTCCATTTTTGTTTGATTTGACCAGCACAGTGTTTTAGATTACTTTGGGTGAGACTTATATTCTCTAGCTTATTACAAATGAGATTTGTAAAATATACTGCACGCATAGTAAATTCTATGGAATTGTTTACATAGAATTGATTTACATAGTCCATAGTACTGGGACTCTCATTTATTACTGTATACTGTACTTTATACTTTGCAGTGCTTACTCAACTGACCTTTGAAGGCACTGGAGTTTAAGATCTCTATAAGTCATTTTCATTTCACTTTTTTGAAGGTGTTTCCCTCCCAGATGATGACCCAGAGGCTGGCCAGGGGAGCAAGTTTTGCTTAGTGGCCATTGGCAGATTGCAGGCAAGTGTGAATTTTCCATATTTATATCCCTTATCAATTAGAATAAATTTCCTTTAGAGAGTATATTCCTTGCTTCTATTTCCTTCTCTCTCCCTCTTTTTCTTCCCTCCATTCTTCCTTCCATCTCTCCCTCTCTCCTTCTAGCATTCTTAACCTCCCTCCCTCCTTTTCTCCCTTGCTCCCTTTCTTCATTCTTACCTTCCTTGTACTGGGATTTGAATTCAAGGCCTTGCATTTACTAGACAAGGAGAAATAGGAAGTGGCACTGGAGCTCAAGTGGTAGAGGGCTAGCCTTGAGCTGAAGAGCTGAGGGACAGCGCTCAGGCCCAGAGTTCAAGCACCATGACTGACCAAAAAAAAAGTATAATTAAAAAAAAAACAAACAAGGAGAAATATACCATTCATAGCAAATATCTCTACTACTCTCGGATTTAGCAAAATGTCGAAGTATATGAGAGAGGGAAGGGAAAATATTTACCTCTTTTTGTTGTTGTTATTCTTATCCTGGAATTGAACTCAGAGCCTGGGCACTATCCCTGAGCTATTTTGCTCAAGGTTAGTGTTCTAGGACTTGAGCCACTTTTAGCTTTTTTGGTGGCTAATTAGAGACAAGAGTCTCACTGATTTTCTTGCTTGGCTGGCTTTGGACGATAATCCTCAGATCTCGGCCTCCTGAAAGCCACTGTCACCAACCTCCTCTATCTTTTTATTGTTGGTGGTATTGAGATGAGGTCTCTATATAATATAGGCTGGTCTTGAATTCTTGGGCTCAAATGTCTTCTTTGCTCATTCTCCAGAGTACTGGGACTATAGGTATATACCATTGTACCTACTTTCCCTTATCTTATTTTTGTATTACCATGAATTTTTTATATCTTATTAATTTACTTACATGCAAAAGAGGAAAGATCTTTTTCATTTTACTGTTGCATGACTTAACAATGGAGAAATGGAATAAGTTTAATTCTTCTCCTAAGTAGATTAAGTTTATGTCACTTGAACAATATGTGTGTGTGTGTACACATATATACACACACACATAGATGTGCCTATATATATATATATATATATATATATATATATATATATAGGCAATTGTTGGACTTGAGCTCTGGGCTGGGTGCTGTCCCTGAGCTCTTCAGCTCAATGCTAGCACTCTACCATTTGAGCCACAGTGCCACTTCTGGTGGACTTTCCTTGTCCTGGCTTTGAACCATGATTCTCAGATCTCAGCCTCCTGAGTAGCTAGGATTACAGGTGTGAGCCACCAGCACCCAGCTAATAATTTTCTTAATAACAAACATAGCTATCTAACAGCTGATAGGTTTTGGTCAATTCTTTTTTTTAATTTTTTTATTGTGAAAATACTGTAGAGAGGGGTTATAATTACATGGGCAAGATAATGAGTACATTTCTTATCAAGCATTGTAGCCTCCTCCTTTGTTTCCCCTTCCCATCCCTTCCCAGCCTCCTCCCGCCCCCCCCCCATTCTTTTTTTTTTTTTAACTTTACTAACTTGATAGAGTACATTTATGAGAGTAGAGCTAGACTTCTTGCACTATCAGATTGTGATTCATTATTTTCCCTTCTGGGTGAGATGTAAAAGCTTAGTAATTTCCAAATTGGAGAGTCTCATTGTCTATTTAAATGTCCATGTAGAGGCCAGAAATAACATCTGTAAAGAATGGTATAATTTTGCCTCATTTTTATCTCTTCATTCTTAGGTAACTAGTTCTCCCAACTGTACAGACATGAGTAATGTTTGTCAGCCAACAGAATTCATCTCCCGACACAACATTGAAGGGATATTCACTTTTGTGGATCATCGTTGTGTAGCTACTGTTGGCTACCAGCCACAGGTGAGAAGCTAAAGCTATTACATCATGAATACTTAGGCCTCTGTTTTCCCTTGCCAGTGTTGTGTAATTCCAGAGATAGACAAAACTCCTGTATTTAATATAGGTAATAAATTAAAAGTGCTCCTTTTAGTTGATTATACTCATATAACTATCTTTAGACACTTTATGTAACTAATAGTAACCCAAGAATCAGGCCAGTTCAGCACGTTATTATAATTTACTCATTTAGCAGAACAGTTTAAGTTGACACATGTGAACTTGTAAAGTATAAATGCCAGGAGGTATGCTATGACTATGTGAAATAGTCAATGAAAATGAAGACTTGGAGGATACTCAGTCCCTGATTCAATACTTACTGTAAAACTGTTATTAAGCTATTATTCAGAGTTGTATTAGTTTAAGGAGAGATGTATAGATCAGTAGAACAAAATAGAGTCTGTTTTTACATTTGTGGTCAACTAATTTTCAGCAAAGGTGCCAAGATAATTCAGTGGAGGAAATGAGTTTTTTTTTTTAATAGAGTGATAGAACAGTTAGATAACCATATGCCCCACCCAGGCAAAAAACATACAGAACAATCTATCTTACTTTACATTTTACTCAAAAGTCAACTCAGAGGCTTAAATGTATATAGAGCTAAAGTTAAAAATATAGGGCTAGGGGGGCTGGGAAGGTGGCTCAGTGGCTCAGTGGCTCAGAGCGCTTGCCTTGCATGCATGAGGCCCTGGGTTTGATTCCTCAGCACCACATAAGCAAAAAGAAAAAAAGCTGGAAGTGGTGCTGTGGCTCAAGTGGTAGAGCGCTAGCCTTGAGCTGAAGAGCTGAGGGACAGCGCCCAGGCCCAGAGTTCAGGCCCCACAAAAAAAAAAAATGTGTGTGTGTGTGTGTGTGTGTGTGTGTGTGTGTGTATATATATATATATATAGAGAGAGAGAGAGAGAGAGAGAGAGAGAAATAAAAAGGGAGCACAGAAATGGAGGGACAAAGGTAAATTAATGCAACAGTGGTACTCACTAGACACTGTTGAAATGAGCTATACAACTTGTGGTTGGGGATAGGAGGGAAAAACTGGGAGAGCCGGGCGCTGGTGGCTCATGCCTGTAATCCTAGCTACTCAGGAGGCTGAGATCTGAGGATCGTGGTTCAAAGCCAGCTCGGGCAGGAGAGACCGTGAGACTCCTATCTCCAATAAACCACCAGAAAACCGGAAGTGGCGCTGCAGCTCAAGTGGTAGAGCGCTCGCCTTGAGCTGAAGAGCTGAGGGACAGCGCCCAGGCCCAGAGTTCAAGCCCCACGACCGACAAAAAAAAAAAAGAAAAACTGGGAGAAAGCAAAGGAATAAGGGAAGGGGTGACATTGTTCAAAAAGAAATGTACTCTTGGGCTGTGAAGGTGGCTCAGTGGTAGAGCGTTTGCCTTGCATGCATGAGGCCCTGGGTTCGATTCCTCAGCACCACATAAGCAAACAGAAAAAAGCTGGAAGTGGCGCTGTGACTCAAGTGGTAGAGCGCTAGCCTTGAGCTGAAGAGCTGAGGGACAGCGCCCAGGCCCAGAGTTCAGGTCCCATGACTGGACCCCCCCCCCCCCAAAAAAAAAAAAGGAAAAAAAGAAATGTACTCTTTATCTGACTTATGTAATTGTAACCTCTCTGTACATCATCTTTGTAATAATTTTACAAAGATCTGATATCTCACCAAAGAAAAATGTAAATGGCATATAAAAAGATGTTCAATACCATTAATTATTACAAAACTTAAAATAAGATTTTATTATATACCAACTTGAATAGCTGCAATTAGAAAGTCTTGTCAAGACTGTGGAGAACCTTGAATCCTCATTTTTTTAGTAGACGTGAAAAATGGCATAGTTGCTTCAGTTTCTTAAAATTTGAAATACACACTTACCCCCCAACTTGGCAGTTCCACTCACAAATATCTTAAGTGGCATGTAAACATATTTTCATAAAGACTTGTACACAAATGTCTTTTATTCATAATAGCTAAAAATAGAAGTAACGTAACTGTATATTAACATTTTATGAATGAACATATGAACAGAATCTTCTGAGCAAAAAAAGGAATAACGTATTGATATATGCAACAACATAGAACTTAAATATTACAAATACTACAGACCTAAAAAGATACAAATTATATGATTCTATTTGTTTTAAATTTCTAGAAAAAGCAAAACTAAAAAGGCAGAGAAAAGGTCAATAGTGGAGTTGACGGGTGGGAACAGATTGACTGCCAGTAACCCAAGGAAACTTTCTGGTACAATGTGCATAATTCTAAATACGAATTGTATATATGAATTGGAATATTTGTCCTGCTGTATAAACTTACTAGAATACAACTTGCATCCTTAGAATGAGTGAATACTGTTAAATAGGATTCTGAAAAATATATGCTAGAAGCCAGCTGTTTAACAGACAATTGCTTTAGTTTGTTTCTTTTTTTGTTTTGTTTTCCTTCATACTTGTATTTGTAATCTTAGTATAAAGATAGAAGAAATAAAATCCAAATCCCCAGCTAATAGACCAGGAAAGTGAGATGACCACAAAAATGTTCATCTTTACTCTTCTTTCTCTGTTCTAGGAACTCTTAGGAAAGAATATTGTAGAATTCTGTCATCCTGAAGACCAGCAGCTTCTAAGAGACAGCTTCCAGCAGGTATAACTTTTTTTTTCCTGGTTTATGCCTGAATACATATTTTTACCTGTTTATCACATTCAGTTTATAAGTACTTATTGCGCTGAATGCTGGTGGCTCACGCCTGTAATCCTAGCTACTCAGGAGGCTGAGATCTGAGGATCGCATTTCAAAGCCAGTCCAGGCAGGAAAGTCCATGAGACTCTTTTTTTGTTGTTGTTTTTTTGTTTTGGGTCCGGTTGTGGGGCCTGCACTCCGGGCCTAGGCACTGTCCTTTAGCTCTTCAGCTCAAGGCTAGTGCTCTACCACTTGAGCCACAGTGCCACTTCCAGCTTTTTTCTTTTTGCTTATGTGGTGCTGAGGAATAGAACCCAGGGCCTCAGGCATGCAAGGCAAGCGCTCTACCACTGAGCTGCCTTCCCAGCCCCTCCATGACACTCTTATCTCCAGTAAACCACCAGAAAACTGAAGTGGTGCTGTGGCTCAAGTGGTAGAGCATTTGCCTTGAGCTGAAATGTTTAGGGACGGCGCCCAGCCCCAGAGTTCAAGTCCCACAGCCTACAAAAAAAAAAAAGAAAGAAAATGCTTATTGAACACTGATTGATTGATCAATGTGACAGGCACCAGATTTATTTTCTTCGTATTTAGCCTGTATTCTTTTTTTTTTTTTTTTTTTTGTCGGTTGTGGGGCTTGAACTCTGGGCCTGGGCGCTGTCCCTCAGCTCTTCAGCTCAAGGCCAGTACTCTATCACTTGAGCCACAGCACCACTTCTGATTTTTTGGTGGTTTATTGGAGATAAGAGTCTCATGGAGTTGCCTGCCTGGGATGGCTTTGAACTGCGATCCTCAGATCTCAGCCTCCTGAGTAGCTAGGATTACAGGTGTGAGCCACCAGCGCCCACCTTTCTTATTTTATTTTGTTAACCTGTATTTTTAAGGGGTAAGAATATTCCTTGGAATTATTAGGTAATGTCCAAGGTATATTTGCTTAGCTTTTGCTGCTTATTGTCTGTGTCCAACTAGCTATATCCAAGAAATTGTTTTAAAAGTATTTAAAATAATTGTAGGCTTCACTGATCTATAGATTGTATTTCAGAATTATTTTATAGAAAGGTGAAAGTTAATTGTGACTTTTAATTGTAGTTTTTCAAGCCCTACCTTCTGAAAGTATTTGCTTTTGATAACAGCCCTCCTTTATACACAAGTTGACAGTGTCCTAAAGTCTTACTAGTGTCCTTACATAAACTAAAATCAATGTCATTAAACTTAAATTTCTGGTATAGAATTGTAAAGTTTATACAGCAACATCTTTGATGGAATTCTCAAGGAAAGTGGGCCAAGTCTTCTCTCCTGGAAATAATTGTTCTTTCTCTTTGACTTAGATGTCAGATAGCTTGGACTCTAGGGGAAAAACTGTGACAAATAAACTTCCTCCTTATTTATGCTTAGTTTTCTGCCCCCTTTTGTTGTTTTAACATTCAGAAAGACATGTTGTAGAAATAGGAATTTCAAAATTTAATTTTCTTATTTTTTTCACCTTAACTTTTTCAGGTGGTAAAGTTGAAAGGACAGGTGCTATCTGTCATGTTCCGGTTTCGTTCTAAGAATAGAGAATGGCTCTGGATGAGAACTAGCTCCTTTACTTTCCAGAATCCTTACTCAGATGAGATTGAGTATATCATCTGTACAAATACCAATGTAAAGTATGTATCTTTCCATCTTTTTCCATTGTTGGGATCTCTTTTTCTCAGTTTTGTTATAAGATTTGATAGTTGATCAACTGTTCTAATTGTTCAGAAACTTGCTCTTGAGATGGAAGGGATTTAATTTCAATTTTATGTGTCAAACCTTTCTAGAAAGGGTTTTGTTGTATATACTTTTTCTTCCTCTGGTCTGGTAGGATTTTCAGCTAGAACACAAAGCCTGTGGGCCTTATGGTCTTTATTGTAATAACTCAGCTCTGCTGTTGTAGCATGAAACTAGTCATAGAAAAAAAAAAAAACATGGATATGTTTCAATAACCCATCATTTACAGAAAAAGCAATGGTCTGGATTTGGTCCATGAACCATTGTTTGCTTTAGAGCATAGTTACAGCCCACTGTTTGGTTAGTTTTTGTTCCTGTCTTTGAACTTTCTATTTTTTTGTCAGTCATGGGGCTTGAACTCAGGGCCTGGACGCTGTCCCTGAGCTCTTCAGCTCAAGACTAGTGCTCTACCACTTTGAGCCATAGCACCACTTGTAGTTTTCTGGTGGTTAATTATAGGTAAGAGTCTCATGGCAACGTTTGAGCCTGGGCTGGCTTCAAACCATGATCCTGAGTAGCTAGGATTACAGACACAAGCCACTGGTGCTCAGCTCTAAAAAGTTTTTATTGAGATACCTTTTACATATCATGCAGGTCATCCATTTTAAAGCTTATTGTGTTTTTAGTATATCGTGGAGTTACATATTGCAACTATCTAAATTCAGAACAATTACATCCCTACTCAGTAGTCGTGTACCCACAGATAGTCATTTTCTTTCTTCTTTTGAAGCGCTAGGCAATCTAATTTACTGTCCATAGATTTGCCTATTTTAGTCATTGCATATAAATGGAATTGCAGAATATGTGGTTTTTTTTGTTTCTGCCTTTTATTGGGTATAATTTTTAAGGATCATCCATATTATAGTATGGATCAGTACTATTGTGTGGAATACTAATATTGTTCCATCTACAAATGAATCTCAAATCTTGTGACATTTCATGTATAGATTCATCCCCCCTACCTTTCTTATCTACTTTATTTTCATAGAAACTCTAGCCAGGAACCACGGCCTGCACTGTCCAACACAATTCAGAGGCCACAGCTAGGTCCCACAGCTAATTTACCCCTAGAGATGGGCTCGGGGCAGCTGGCACCCAGGTAAGAAATAAATAATATCTATAGGAATAACTAGGCGGGGGGGCTGGGAAGTTGGCTCGTGGTAGAATTCTTGCCTTGCATGCATGAGGCCCTGGGTTCGATTCCTCAGCACCACATAAGCAGAAAAAGCCAGAAGTGGCACTGTGGCTGAAGTTGTGGAACGCTAGCCTTGAGCTGAAGAGCTGAGCGACAGTGTCCACAACTGGCAAAAAAAACCACCAAAAAACAAAAAAACTAGGCGGGGATGATTTGTGTTCCTATGATTTTTTGGGGGGGGGGTTAGGCAATTTATTTTGTTTTAAGACATTTCCTTCAGATTCTTTGTTAAAATCTTTGTTTCCTACCTCTCTTCTCACTGATCTTTTTAACATTTAGGCAGCAGCAACAGCAAACAGAACTAGACATAGTATCAGGAAGAGATGGACTGGCCAGTTACAATCATTCCCAGGTGAGTATGTATCTTATTCTGTGAGGAAGACAATTAAGCATTTCCTTAAAAACTGTCCCCTAGGTTAGGCATGGTGGCTCATGCCTGTAATCCTAACTGTTCAGGAGGATCATGGTTTCAGGCCAACCCAGGCCAGGCCTGGTGATGTGTACTTCATCCCATCTATAAGGGATAGGAATGGGATAGGAAGCCATAGGTAGACTTGCTGTCTGCGGCTGACCACAGTAAAAAACACAAGACCTCAACTGAATATTTAAAGCACAGAAGAGCTAGGAGCATGGTTTTAAGTGATAGATCATCTACTTGGTAGGTGCAAGGCCCTAAGTTCATATCCTAGTACTAGCACCCCTCCAACACTCAAAAAATGTATATTTATACACACAATCTCCTGTGTATTATATGTGAATATTTGATTTGGTGAATTATCATATTAAATGTTTAAAGATTATTTTCGTAATTTGATTCTGTAGGTTTCTGTCCAGTCTGTGACAGCTACAGGGCCAGAACACAGCAAGCCCCTTGAAAAGTCAGATGGTCTGTTTACCCAAGATAGAGATCCAAGATTTTCAGAAATCTTTTCCAACATCAATACAGGTAGGCTTCTTCCTTCATTTCCTTCCAGTTCTTATTTAGATCACCTGTTAATGGGCCTGATCAGTAATCTTCCTGATCAGTAATCTTCCAACATGTTTCCACTTAATTATAATACTTAATAAGTAGGAATTTACTAAACTATATACTACAGCCCCTTGACTAGCCCTCCCCCAACTCCTTTTGGTCCACAGATCAGAGTAAAGGCATCTCTTCCAGCACTGTCCCTGCCACCCAACAGCTATTCTCCCAGGGAAGCACATTCCCTCCTAACCCCCGGTCGGCAGAGAATTTCAGGTGAGCCTGGTATGTGTGTGCTGCTTTATAGGGCCCTGAAGGATTCAGTTGCTGAATCCAAGTTTTATTCTTCCCTTTCTCTGATTATTTATAACAAAGTAGTAGTTTGTAGGGCCTCAGTTAAGGCAAAGAAGCTGCTGTTTTCTTCCTCCTGTTTCTTTGCACCTGCCCTGTTGCTATGTTCTAGGTTCCATCTGTGTCCTAGTCAGTGTATAGCTATCAGTCTTTTTTTTTTTTTTTTCCTCCAACCGTTACCTAGCTTCCATGATATCTTTTTGATCTTTCACCTGTTTGTTCACTCCTAGGAATAGTAGTCTGGCCCCTCCTGTAACCATTGTCCAGCCATCATCTTCTGCAGGACAGATGTTGGCCCAGATTTCTCGCCACTCCAATCCTACCCAGGGAGCAGCCCCGGCTTGGACCCCTAGCACCCGCCCAGGCTTCTCTGCCCAGGTAAAGCTTTCAATCTGTCTGATCATCAATTTTTTGCTTGCTTGAGCTTTTTTTTTCCCCCCATATGTGAATTTATTTTCTATCAGATCCTCTTCTTCACCTCTGTCCTCTATCTTCTACTTTTTATCTTTGTTAAAAGCAATTAGATAATTAAAACACTATAAATTATGAGGTTCTGGTGGCTCATTCCTATAATCCTAGCTATTTAGGAGATCTAAATAGCTATATATATTAGGAGATCTAAGGACCATGTTTCAAAACCAGGCCAGACAGGAAAAGTCTGTGAGACTCTTTATCTCTAGCTAACCATAAAAAACTCGCAGTAGAGCTGTGGCAAGTGATAGTGCTAGCCTTGAGCAAAATGGTTCAGGGACAACACCCAGGCCCCCAGTTCAAACCCCAGTACCTGCACGTGCGCGCACGTATTCACATATTCACCTTTATGCAGAATTTCTCACACACAACAATTTGAGTAGGTTTGATTTTTTCAAATTGGTTTTGGCATAAATTTTAAGAACTTTTCTCTTTGTTAAGGACTGTATGATGTAAGAATAGGGAGAAAACTAGTATATAATACAAAGAAAATATATTTAATTTATATGTTACTATATATTTTTATTGTGTGTGTTTGCATATATGTATATTACATATTATATGTGTGTTTGCTTGTGTGAGTATATAAGTATATAAACAAATAAATATTTTGTACTGGGGTTTGAAGTCAGGGCTTCATACTTGTTAGCAGGCATTCTACTACTTAAACCACACCTCTGGTCTTTTTTGCGCTGGTTAAAATTAATTTTGGCAGTACTAATCTTAGAACTGAGGGCTTTGCACTTTGCACTTAACTAGGCAGGTACTCTACCAGTTAAACCATACCTCCTCCAGTCCTTGCTTTGATTATTTTCTCTATATATCATGATCTACTGTTATTAATACAATTGCTTCTTTTTGGGGGCCAGTACTTGGGCTTGAACTCAGGACCTGGATGCTATCCCTGCACTTCTTTTATTCAAGGCTAGCACTCTTCTACTAGCACTTTAGCCACAGCTCCACTTCTGGCTTTTTTGGTGGTTAGTTGGAGATAAGAGTCTTACAGACTTTCCAGATCAAGCTGGCTTTGAACCTTGATCCTCAGATCTCAGCCTCCCCGGTGGCTAGGATTACAGATGTGAGCCACCAACACCCAGAAATGCCTCTACTTTTTGTTGTTGTTGTTGGTCGTGGGGCTTGAACTCTGGGCTTGGGCACTGTCTCTATGCTCTTCAGCTCAAGGCTAGCACGCTACCACTTGAGCCACAGAGCCACTTCTGGTTTTCTAGTGGTTTATTGGAGATAAGAGTCTCACAGACTTTCCTGCCTGGGCTGGGCTGGCTTTGAACCGAGATCCTCAGATCTCAGCCTCCTGAGTGAGCCACTGGCGCCTGGCCGGGCCTCTACTTTTATAATTACATTTAATCAAATGCTTTCACTTCTCACAACTATGTTTTTTGTACTTTTTTCTCAGCTACCTAGAAAATAGTGCCAACGCACTGGGAATTAATTAGAAGTCTATAGTTAGGAATGTTATTCACTTGTATTAAAAAAAATAGTGATTAATTATGAAACTATAATAGAAATGGCTTGTGCAGTAATGTTATTTGTTGGTCTCTGTCCCTTTATTTAGCAGGTGGCTACACAGGGTACAAACAAAACTCGTTCTTCCCAATTTGGTGTGGGCAACTTTCAGACTCCATCCTCCTTCAATGCCGTGCCTCTCCCTGGCGCTCCTGCTGCGGCGCCTCGCACCGCTGCCTACCCTGCTCTCACCAATCGTGGATCCAGCTTCGGTAAGTTCAGACCAGAAGCAGGATAATAGGAAAATGACACTACTGAAGAAAGAATTTGATGAAGTTGTTTGTATTCTGGATACATTGACCTAATTATAAGGAAATGCAAGGTGGCAATGTATTTAGTATTTAAAACATTCAGGAAAAATATTTAGCACATACAAGAAAAAGATTATTTATTGTAACTTAAAGTGTAATATTTACAGTAATTTTACTATAAAATTTACAAAATGCCTACACACTTAATAGTATACACATTTAATATAAATGGCCAAAGAGCTCTTTGGGAAACCTAGAGAAGAATAGTTAATTTGGCTTTGAAATAGAAGATGCACTCGTTAACAGAGAAAAGGTATCTTAGGTAAAATTATTGACATGTATGTAGCTATGTACAAGTTTCTCCTCTCCATTGGTATTACTAAGTTGAAGGTAATTTATTTTTACTGTATTTCTAGCTCCTGATACTGGACAAACTGCAGGACAATTCCAGACACGAACAGCAGAGGGTGTGGGTGTCTGGCCACAATGGCAGGGTCAGCAGCCTCATCATCGCTCAAGTTCTAGTGAGCAACATGTTCAGCAGCCATCAGCACAACAATCTAGCCAGCCTGAGGTCTTCCAGGTGAGACAGTAAAGACAGTAAAGAAACTAGGAGAAAAAGGGTCAGAGAGGAGAGATAGAGAAAGGAAGCATACCTCTGTGAAAGTATGGATTAGGCGTGTGTAGAAGACAAGAGTGGATATGTAAGGTTAAATGTCAGTAATTGAAAAGATCATGAACTTGGTTTGATACACATCTCTCAATCAGACTAGACAAAATTTATAAAGTGAAGCATGTGAATATGCCACATAAATTATTTTAGTTCATTCACAAAGACCCATATCCTTATTTCACAATATCTTTGGCTATAGGGCAAATTTTAAAAGTAATCATATACTGATTATGGCTATAATGATCTATTTTAAAAAGTTCAGAGGCTGGGCATCGGTGGCTCACACCTGTAATCCTAGCTACTCAGGAGGTTGAGATCTGAGGATCATGGTTCAAAGCCAGGTGGGGCAGGAAAACTCCGTGAGACTCTTATCTCCAATAAACCACTCAGAAAACTGGAAGTGGTGCTGTGGCTCAGGTGGTAGAGTGCTAGCCTCTAGAGCTGAGGGACAGTGCCCAGGCCCAGAGTTTAAGCCCCATGACTGACCAAAAAAAAAAAAAAAAAAGTTTTGAGGGGACTTGCAAAATTGAATGGCGTAATCTAAGCCAAAGGAAGAAGTAGAATAAAACACAGAAAGCAAAATGGGTTTTGGTAGGTAAAAAATAGGACATTTAATTTTATATATCTAGAAAGGAGTAAATGAAATGTGGAATGTGGCAAGCAGATTTCTCTCCCTTTGAAAAGTGGAAACTTAGGGCTGGAGATGCAGCTCAAAGTAGTAGAATGCCTGCTTCACAGATCTGAAGTTCTGAGTTTGGTTTCTAGTACTACCAAGAAAAAAAAATCTCAGCAAAAAAAAATAATTTTTAGGTGAAAATAAATATAGATGATTAGAAAAAAAGTGGCTATGATGTAATGGAGTCACTGTTGCTGGAAGTAAGGAAGGCTGAGAGAACTCAGTGCAAGGAAGACCTTTTGGGTTTTGGGATAGTACTGCAGAGAAATGTTGGGTGGGAACTTAGTAAATCTAAAGGTGTATGACCCAAACTTCATCTTTTTCTCTCATTAGGAGATGTTGTCCATGCTGGGGGACCAGAGCAACAGCTACAACAATCAAGAATTTCCTGACCTAACTATGTTTCCCTCCTTTTCAGAATAGAACTATTGGGGTGAGGATAAGGGGTAGGGGAGAAAAATCAACAGTTTTTAAAAGCAACTCTTTTGTAAACAAAATAAAAGTTCCTCTCCCTTCCCTTCCCTCACCCCCTAATATGTACCCCTATCCCTTCTGGACTTTCCTTGCCTTCTCTTCCCTATCTGAGGTAACATTTATAGAAGGAATTAAATCAATCCCTAAGGCTTCTAGAGCCTTTGAAAATTTGAGGCTAGGTAAAGATAGAATGCCTTTCTTTATGTCTCCTGACCAGAAACTGCACAAAGATGGTTTGTGCAAGGGTCAAGGGGCAGGTTAGAAGAATCTGACATCCACTATTTGCCTTGGATACTGTGGTTTATTTTGTTAAGAAATTCTGAATAGGGTGGAATAGAGGAGGAATATCCTCATAATTGAGACCCATGGTATGTATACATGGGGCTTTAGGAAGTGAGTATAGGCTCTTTCTGCTACCTGTGAGCGATTCCCCTGGAAAGAATCATGTAAGAAAGAGAACAAGAATGTGTGTGTGTGTGTGTGTGTGCGTGTGTATGTGTGTATGTGTGCGCGTGCAAATGTGAGTACATGCACGGTCCTGTATTTCTTTCTCCCTATTAGGGAGTTTATGCAAAATTTGTTCCAGATTTTGTCTTTGTATGTTTGTGTGCTCTTCAAAGAGTCCTAAGAAATTAAATCTTCCAAGTATTTTCCATTTAGTGTTGCAGCCAAAGTATTTATTAAGTCTTTGCTGCACTTACATATATACCCAGCCAACATGCAACTAGAGGCAAATATATAATGTCTTCTATTGATAAGGTTGATCTCTAACCTAACACATTCAGTGATCAAGCTGGATTACTCCTGCTTTTGGTGCTCTTGCCTTACTTGGAAGATCTGTAACATTACTGAAATAGGCTGGTCAGATAAACACTTTACAAAGTCCCAGACTTGGCCATAAGGATAATGCTGCATTTTCTGTCAGAATCACACAGTGTGTGTTCTGTAAAGGTTATTTCTGCATGGAAACTCAACTTCTTGGATTAGCAGTCCCAGTGAAAATCCTCACTGTTGGAGTATAAACCAAATATACAGTCCTTTTGCAAAGTAGCCTTTTTTATCCCATCCTCAAAATACCCTATCTAGCAAGAAACACCGGGCCTGTAATTCTTTCCTCTGCTCCCTTTCCAATTTTAAGATTGGCTTTTGTTTGGAGCAGTATAATTCCATGTGTTAAGTAGAACCTGGACTCCCATTCCAACAGGGTCACTTGGTAATTGTAGCCATATAAATGTGGATCCAGGTTACTACTCTCACTCTTTACCTTCCTCAGGTAAGTCATGTTTATCAGCCTTTTAAGAAATGTTCCTGCCAGTATCTTAAATGCAAGACTGAATTAATAAGGAAAAAAATATATTAAGTATATTCATAGGGGACTGAGGAGCACAGGCTGAGGGAATATCATTTACTGGGTCCCCCCCACCCCTCTTTTGTCTCCAGTCTGGTGCCAGGTAGTGGAGTGGAAAAGGAAATGATTTATTTTTCTATTCTATGTGCACACATACAGTATACATATATATTTATATCACAATTTATGAAACCAAAAAGTTGAGTTTCCAATGGAACCCTTGTTTTTTTTTAATAATCAACTTGTTTTTAAATGTGATTGGGACTATAATATTGTACAGTTACTATAGGGTTTGGGGGGAAGGGGAGGGCAGAGAGAAGATACTCTGGGGGGTTGCTTCTGTTTTCCTTCAGGGTTTTATTTTTTGATTTTTTTTTTTCTTGGTGGCCCTTTCTGTATTGCTGGCATCTGTGCTAAGCCATACAGTGGCAAAAATAATGACATGTAGCAAAGATTTTAAAACAATGCATTTTTTCTTTTTGTAAAATTTCTTGTGTCGTGTGATCTTGATTGCGGCTTTATTCCTTTCCAGCTTATAAAATATAGATAACCACCACTAAAAGAATACATAGCTCAGGCTTGAAATGTAACTCAGTGGGAGAGCAGTTGCCTAGTATGCGCAAATGTCTGAAATCGATCCCCAGCACCACAAGAAACAACAGAGAAGAATCCATAGCTTGAGCTTCAAAACATACAATTATAAAGCATTTCAGGAATCAGAAGTCACAGTGCCCTGGTGATTCAACACCCTTCCTCCTCACTTGCCCTCCTGATCCTGACACATTCTGAGAAGACAGCAGAGACATCGGGCTACACTTAAAGGAGGTGGGGGTTGCCAAAGCCCATCGGGGAGAGGGAATGAGTTTGGACTTGAAACCAGTAGAGCAGCACACCTGGATATATGTTCTCTGGATTAACGAGTTAGGAATTAGGACATTTAAGCTTCCAAATCTGGACCTGTATTTCTTCTCTAGGCCCATGGAGTTCATAAGTAACATTTAAAATCAAAAGACAAAGCCTTTGTTATTCAGTGTCTGTATAGAATCCAGCTAGAAAGTGGACCTCATGTTTATCCTTTCTACTCCAGGTCCCTCTCTTTTTCCTCACATCTGTTTATGGAAGAAAATAGAGCTTGGGGCCAGGGATGATTTCATGACTGCACTAGAATCTTATGATCTATCACATGTCTACATTTTGGGGAAGCATTTGAAGAAGCTCATGTGACGACCTAGATTGGGAATTTTAAATTGAGACATGCTCATCAGACATGCCATCATCTGAGAATTTTGTCAATAAAGTTACATGTGAGTCCCTCAGATGATTTCAAATGATGTAAATAACCAGGGGTGGCATTTGAAGTTAATTTTAAAACCAATTTAATCTGGACAGACCCTTCTACAAAACCATGTTGGAGGCTGGGTACTAGGCTCATATATGTAATCCTGAGAGGCAAGAGGTTTGAGACTGACCTGGGCAATAAGCAATAACCAATAAGCAAGCGTGGCAGCACTACACTGGGAGGTCTAAATAGGACCATGGTCCGGGCTACTGGGCAAAAATTGTGCAACTATTCTAAATACAAGTAAGCTAAGGATGTCTTCCTAGCAAGCACAGAACCCTGAGTTTAAGCCTCACTACCACAGGTAAGTGGGAATAGGAAAGCTATTCCTCTGCTTAAAAGGAATAGCAACCTTTAGCCAACAAAGCCAGGCATAGATGCCTAAGCCTGTAATCCTAGCCACTCAGGAGGTGGTGATTGGAAGATGGTGGTACAAGTCCAGCCTGGGGGGGAGGGGGTTTTCAGTGACTCCATCTCAATATAAAGCTGGGCACAGTGACTTGTGTCTATCAGACTAGCTACACAGAAAGCATAAATAGATAAATAGTATGATCAAGGTTCTGTGTGTCCTTAGTATAAGCCTGAGACCTATTCTTTAAAAAAAAAAGCAAATAAAAAATAGCAAAAGCAAAAAAGTATGTAGGAACCTCGTATAAACACAAGGCCCTGAATTCAAACCCCAGAGTCATGACAAAAGGGGGACTAGCTCGTGTCTTCCTTTAGGTTACTCATTTCTGGACTGTTCATTCCATCAACCCAGAGTTGAGGGTCAGACATAAGTTTGGAAACTGAGGTTTCAATGTTGGGGAGGTGAGTCTAATAGAAAAAAAGGTGGGAAAAAATGCAGTCCCCTGACATTATAAGATTTTAGGGGCTGGGAAGGTGGCTCAGTGGTAGAACGCTTGCCTTGCATGTCTGAGGCCCTGGGTTTGATTCCTCAGCACCACATAAGCAGAAAGAAAAAAAGCCAGAAATGGCACTGTGGCTCAGGTGGTAGAGCGCTAGCCTTGAGCTGAAGAGCTGAGGGACAGCCCCCAGGCCAGGGTTCAGGCCCCACAACCGGACCCAAAAAAAAAAAAAAAAGATTTTAAAGAAGGATGGGGTGACTTAAGGCTGTATCCTTCCACTTCCCCACCATAGAAAGTAATTCCCAACTGTGTGTACTGAGGTTTTTGTCTGCTTCCAAAGAGTCATGTGAAACTAAATACCTAGCAGTTCTCCAGCTTGGCACACAACTGCACACACACAGAAACATTGTGTAAATCCGCTGCAATCTCCCCCTCTAACCCCCCTTTTCTCAACATTTCTATCCCCGCCTTCCTTATCCAAATTTTCCAGCCAACTGCTGGAGCTGACTTCCGCAATCCTGATGGAATAAATCCAGCATCCCTAGTCTTCCAACCACATTAGACATACTTTCTGACCCAAGAGGAGCTCAGACAGCAAGATTCCCGGCAGCAGGTAATGTTTTTAACTTCTACATCTTTGTAGCTTCAAATTTATGTTCATTCTTTTAAGAGGATTAGGGGTATAGTGAATTGGAGATCAAAATAAACAATAAGCTCTATGGAAAAAAACAGATACCCTTCTAGTTCATTTCCTGGCCAAATAAAAAATGCCTGGAAATTTTTAGGATTCCTTGTGTGATTGTTAGTATGCATTTGTGGTTTTGTATTATTAAAAGAATCTTTACCCAACTATCAGCTGGAGGACTTTAGAGAACAAAAACCCTCATAACAGAAAAATAAAGCTTTATAAAAGAATCTACCCATTCCTCAAAAGTGACCTCTATTAAGTTTGCTTTGGCCACAAGGGTTAACCATGAAGAATATGAGGAAGAGAAAGGAGAAGCAAGAGGAGGAGGAATAGTAGGAGAACTACCACTGGCAGCTCAGTATTTGTGCTCTGAAACATATCCAAACCCTGAATACTCAAGCAGTTAATGCTGGACATTTTTTTTCTGGTTTGCAAAGACTACATAAAGATGTATTCTAAATTTAATATTGACTTCATATGGCTTGCTTTTAAACTAGGATTTATGCTTAAGCCAATATAAGAAATTAGTGACACAGGAACAAACTTCTGAGAAGCTCAATGTTTATAGAATATTGCCTTTTCATCCTACATTTTTCTAACTTTGTTTCTGAGGCTTTGCCCTATCAGGAAGACACAAAAGTTACTTATTGTTGAAAAAGAAAAACTGCTTTCCCACAGCATCTGGTTAAGATTAGGGCAGTTTCCTGCCTAAGGAGGGAGGAGGGATGAGAAAGGAAGAAGAAATGCTTAGGGAGACTGAGAACAATAAACATCTCAGAGTTAAAGAGGACCCTGTCAAATTTAGCCTTGTCTTCTCTCAGCAAGATCTGAAAACATAACAGGATTTAGGCAAGGAAGAAAAAAAAATGCCTTGAAGAAATGATTAGGAAGCAATGTAGCTAGAAATCTTTGTGTTTTCTCCAGCCCCCCATTTCCAGCTTGTGCTTATTTTGTTCATCTTCACCTCGGATGGGACACTGAAGATAGGTGCTGAGCCCATCCTACTCAGCCCTTTCCATCCCATTTCTGCTTGTCTGCAAGTATATGTGCGTGATGGTTGAACAACCTTATGCCAAATTACTTGAAACCAAATGTACGGGCACCTCATTCAAACCCAGCCTCTATCATTGTTTTGTCATATGCAAACTACCCTTAATTCTTATCTTTATACAGCCAAGTTTCCTTTTGCCTTACAGTGAAGAAGGGATTCTTAACTTTGTGTTCATGAATTCCCTAGGATTATTGCATGCACGTGCATTTCTCTGGTAAGAGAGACTAGACGTTTATTAGTCCCCAAAGGAGTCTCACGAAAGATTAAGAACCAGCAGTCTGACAAGATAGCTGCAGCTATTTCCTCATTCCAAGCCAAGCTGTGAACTCACTGCCAAATGGAAGTGTTCCATAATTATTCCTTTCTTCAGGATGTGGGGGCTCAAGGTTCTGCTGCTACCCATGGTGAGCTTTGCTCTGTACCCTGAAGAAATACTGGATACCCAGTGGGAATTATGGAAGAAGACCTATATGAAGCAATACAATGGCAAGGTGCCTGGGGACCTGGAAGGGAGCATGGCAGGAAGGTTGGGACTTCATAGATCTCCAGTCTTAGCATTTAGGCTTTGTTTTTCATGATACAGTAAAATCTACTACAAACCAAGCAAACCTGTCTGTTCCCTAACTCTTCACCTATGCTTTTCATTTCTATGCCTCAATCTCCATCCTTCTGTGCTATCTGGGAAGATCTGTAAAGCTCTACAGAATGGTAGCGTGCTTGCCTAGCATGTGCAAGGCACTGGGCCCACTCCCAGCATCACCAGAAAGAGGGAAGGGGAGGAGAGAAGAGAAGGGGAGAGAAAAAATGGGAGAGGAATCAGGGAGGGAGAATATGCTAGGAGGGGAGAGAATGCACCAGGGAGAGGGTAGGGGAAGAAAAGGAAAAGAGAAAAGAAGAAAGGTGCAGCTTTTCTTTTGGAAAGACTTCTCAGATTAATACTATTAATCTAAAATTATTCTATAGCTCTCTCCAGTGGTTTGCATTTTTACATAACTTCTTTTTGTGTTGGTTAGTTGCGCAGCTAGACCATATAACTTTTATGTTACATCTTTTCTCCTAAAAAACACATATTACCTATGTGACTTCTCAGTCAATGCATATACTGAATATGTTCTGTTTAGGTGGATGAACTCTCTCGTCGTTTAATTTGGGAAAAGAACCTGAAGTATATTTCCGTCCACAATCTTGAGGCCTCTCTTGGTGTACATACATATGAATTGGCTATGAATCACTTGGGGGACATGGTGAGTTGAACCTCAGTTTTTAGCCCACCTGTTTGTCTTAGTTTTCTGCTAATGCCTAGCCTCTTTTTTCTTTGTTTTAGACCAGTGAAGAAGTAGTTCAGAAGATGACCGGACTCAAAGTCCCTGCCTCTCATTTCCATAGTAATGACACCCTTTACATACCAGAATGGGAGGGCAGAACCCCAGATTCCATCGACTATCGAAAGAAGGGATATGTTACTCCAGTCAAAAATCAGGTACTCTCGTTTCTTTGGGGGAGTAGGTTGGTAATCTGGCATGACCAATTCCTTCTTCTGCTGTTTTATTCTTGAGATAAGAGATCACTAGGAAGAAAAGGCAATTAGTTATGACACAATACCCATGCTAAGAGAATATGGCCCCTCCCTCCCTCCCTCCCTCCTTCCTTTTCTTTTTTCGAGACAAGGTCTTGCTCTATCTATCGTCCAGGCTGTCCTATCTATGCTGTCTTGTGCCGTTGAGGCAAAAGCATGTATCGCCATGTCCAGCTCATTACCAAACCCAGGTTCTCTGGGTTTTCTTTATTACAAATAGTGTTGCAATAAGTATCTTCATATGTATTTTTGTGCATTTGTATAAATTCCTTATGTAAAATAAACTCTAAAACAAATTGCTAGGTCTAAGAGTATCCTTTCCTAAGATCTTACATTCTTTTTTTTTTTTTTTGGGTCCGGTCGTGGGGCCTGAACTCTGGGCCTGGGCGCTGTTCCTCAGCTCAAGGCTGTCGCGCTACCACTTGAGCCATAGCACCACTTCCGGCTTTTTTTTTCCTGCTTATGTGGTATTGAGGAATCGAACCCAGGGTCTCATGCATTCAAGGCAAGCACTCTACCACTGAGCCGCCTTCCCAGCCCCAAGATCTTACATTCTTACTAACATGAGAATACTAGTTTTCCCATAAACTTAACAGCACAGATTTGTGACGGTGAGATGACAATTAACTTAACATCCCTCAATACTTTTCTCTCCTTTGCCTAGAACTGACCAGGTATATAGTGTCAGACAGTAGAAATTCAAAATAGCTGAAGCAACTCTTCAAGAAATATTCAGTCTTGAGCTGGGCGCTGGTAGCTCATTCTTGTAATCCTAGCTACTCAGGAGGTTGAGATCTGAGGATCACAGTTCATAGCCTGCTCAGGCAGGAAAGTCCATGAGACTCTTATCTCCAATTAACCACCAGAAAAACAAAAACAAAAACAAAAAACTGGTAGAGCACTAGCCTTGAGCTGAAGAGCTCAGGGACAGCACCCAGGCCCTGAGTTCAAGCCCAACAACCATTAAAAAAAAAAAAAAAAAAACACATTTTTTTTAGTCTTAAACTGGGAATATGGCGTGAGTGATAGTACATGAACCTAGAAAGCACAGGCCCTGAGTTTAATCCCCAGTACTGAAATTTAAAAAAAAAAACAAAAATGCCCAATTCTCAATCTTACCAATAAACCAGAAGTCAGGTACTGGTGGCTCAAACCAGTAATCCTAGTTACTTAAGAGTCTGAGATCTGAGCATTGCAGTTCAAAGCCAGCCTGGGAAGGAAAATCCTTGAGACTTTTTTTTTCTTTTTTTTTTGTCGGTCGTGGGGCTTGAACTCTGGGCCTGAGCGCTGTCCCTCAGCTCTTCAGCTCAAGGCTAGCGCTCTACCACTTGAGCTACAGCGCCACTTCCGAGACTTTTCTTTTTTTTTGCTAAAAACTAATTTATTAATGTTACTGCTGTTAAAATAAAACATGGTTACATAGAACTATCCACTTTCTCATAACTCAGTAACATTTGTTATCTCTAAAGCAAATGATCATACAAAAAATTTGAGAAATACATCAACATCATGAATTTAAGTTCACAGTATTCCCATGAGACTCACATCTCCAATTAACCACAAGTGGAGCTGTGGCTGAAGTGCTTAAGAGCATTAGCCTTGAGCAAAAATGCCCAGGGACAGTGCCCCACGCCCTGAGTTCAAACTGTAGGACTGGCACATACACACAAAGACTAGCAAAGAAAGAAAAATCTAGAACAAACAATAATAACTATTGCTTTTTGAGAGACTAGTATGTGTAAAAAGTAAATTTCACATGCAAAATATATTATTCTTTATTAACATCTCATTAATATAGAATTACCCCACATTTTACAGGTAAGGACTGAAACAGAGGTTTAGTAACTTACCTAAGCTCATATAGCTAGTGGGCCAGGAGAACCATCTCAGAAGCTGCACTCTGCTCTATTCTGTTTTACCACATCTAATGATAATGGTTATCAGTAGCAACAATAGCAATATAATAACACAACAAATATTAGAATAGGAAGACAGTGACAAAGGCAACATTTGGTCAGGAATTTACAAAATGCGTAAACTTCATCAGGCTGATATAGCATGTGTGAACAAAAATCACTGATTGTTTCTGTGGATGCTTTTCAGGGTCAGTGTGGTTCCTGTTGGGCTTTTAGTTCTGTGGGTGCCCTGGAGGGACAACTCAAGAAGAAAACTGGCAAACTCTTAAATCTGAGTCCACAGAACCTGGTGGATTGTGTTTCTGAGAATGATGGCTGTGGAGGGGGCTATATGACCAATGCCTTCCAGTATGTGCAGCAGAATCGGGGTATTGATTCTGAAGATGCGTATCCATATGTGGGACAGGTGAGATTACTCCGAAGAGTTTCACTGCCTTGTACAGGCTCCTCTCTCATTACGGTATTTTTTACTGGCAATAATGTCAGAAATCTTGTGGTCAGGCGCTGGTGGCTCCCACCTATAATCCTAGCTACCCTGGAGGCTGAGTGCTGGGATTATAGGTGTGTACTGCAGTGACCAGTTTAGCCTTTTTTCTTCTTCTTTTTTTTTTTTTTTTTTGGGTCCCGTCGTGGGGCCTGAATTCTGGGCCTGGGTGCCTTTTTAAAGTTTAATCTTTTTTCTTCCTTTCCTTTCCCTCCCTCTCTCTTTTCCCTCCCTCTCTCCCTCCCTCCTTCCCCCCCCCCTCTCTGTTTTTGTCAGTTGTGGGGCCTGAACCCTGGGCCTGGGCGCTGTCCCTCAGCTTTTCAGCTCAAGGCTAGCACTCTACTACCTGAGCCACAGCACCACTTCTGGCTTTTCTGCTTATGTGGTGCTGAGGAATCGAACCCAGGGCCTCATGCATGCAAGGCAAGCGCTCTACCACTGAGACACCTTCCCAGCCCCGTCCCTGAGCTTCTTTGGGCTTAAAGCTAGCACTCTACCACTTGAGCCACAGTGCTACTTCTGTCTTTTTCTGAGAAGTTTATTGGAGAGAAGAGTCTTATGGACTTTTCAGCTGTGGCTTGCCTCAAACTTCAATCCTCAGACCATAGCCTCCTAGCACCCGCTTTTCTTTTCTTTTCTTTTTTTTTGGTCAGTTGTGGGGCTTGAACTTTGGGCTTGGGCGCTTTCCCTGCACTCTTCAGCTAAAGGCGAGCGCTCTACTTTTTGAGCCACGGCGCCACTTCCAGTTTTCTAGTGGTTTATTGGAGATAAGAGTCTCTCAGACTTTCCTGCCTGGGCTGGCTTTAAACTGTGATCCTCAGATCTCAGCCTCCTGAGTAGCTAGGATTACAGGCATGAGCCACCGGCACCTGGCTCTTCTATATTTTAAATCATCTGGAGTTATTTTTGCATGTGAGGTTGAAAGTAAGAGTTTGCTTTTCACATTTTTTTTTACCAGTCCTGGGACTTGAACTCAAGACCTTGGCACTGTCCCTGAGCTTCTTTTGCTCAAGGCTAACACTATCACTTGAGCCCAGTACCACTATCAGCTTTTTCTGTTTATGTGGTACTGAGGAATCAAACCCAGGGCTTCATGCATGCTAGGCAAGCACTCCACCATTAAGTCACATTCCCAGCCCTATTTTGTTGTTTTCTAAAATGATAGACGGATAGCTGGGTGCTGGTGGCTCACACCTGTAATCCTAGCGACTCAGAAGCTGAGATCTGAGGATCACGGTTCAAAGCTAGTCAGGATAGGAAAGTCTGTGAGACTCTTATCTCCAATAAACCACCAGAAAACCGGAAGTGGCGCTGTAGCTCAAAGAGGTAGAGCACTAGCCATGAGCTTAAGAGCTGAGGGACAATGTCCAGGCCCAGAGTTCAAGCCCCACGACCAAAAAAAATTAAATTAAATAGGAAGTACAGTCCCTCTGTAGAGACTAAGTTAAAATGTCAGATCACTAACATTTACTCAAAATACGAGTTGAGTTTCTTGTTCATTGCCTATTGCTTTGCGCCAATCTTATTGCAACCTTGTTATTTTCAGGATGAAAGTTGTATGTACAACCCAACAGGCAAAGCAGCTAAATGCAGAGGATTCAGAGAGATTCCCATAGGGAATGAGAAAGCCCTAAAGAGAGCAGTGGCTCGAGTGGGACCGGTCTCTGTGGCCATTGATGCAAGCTTGACCTCTTTCCAGTTTTACAGCAAAGGTAAGGAACTTTTTTCCAGAGATAACTCTTAAAAAAAAAAAAAAAGTTGGGAGCCCTGAGCATTTTTAGTACTTAGTTCTTATATTTATACTCAGTCTACTGGAGAGAAATTGGAAACTGCCACAGTGTGAAGCAACTCTGATGTTAACCCTCCTGGTTGATGGAAAATCCTACAGCCTTCTGTACTGGAGATCCCATACGTCGACTCTTGGATTGTCATTTTGTGTGTACCAATCCTGGGCTTAAACTTAGGGCCTGGGCTCCCTGCCACTCAAGAATACCACTTTAGCGCACTTGAGCTTTTAATATTTTGGTGTGTATGATTATTTAGAGATAAGAATCTCAGGGAGTTTACTATCTGGTCTAGATTCCAACTGTGATCCTGAGATCTCAGCCTCCTGAGTAGCTAGGATAACAGAAGTGAGCCACCAGTACCCAGCTAAAACTTCATCTTCATATTTTGTTTCCTAGGTGTCTATTATGATGAAAACTGCAATAGCGATAATCTGAACCATGCATTGTTGGCAGTAGGATATGGGACTCAGAAAGGAAACAAGCACTGGATAATTAAGAACAGGTAATGACAACAATACTATTTCTTATTCACTTACCCTTATAACATTCAACTTCACCTCCAGCTTCCCAGTATTCCTTTCTTTTTTCCAAATCATAGGACATTCTCTCAGGTTTTTCAGTGTAGAGATGCTAACATATGATGGCGATACAATAAATAGCATTCAAAGTATGTGTTAGTCAGCTGCCCTGTGGGCAAGATGCTTAGAGACATACAGAAACAAGTAAGCAAATGTTTGCCCATTAAGATAGATTTAACTGTGACCGAAGTAACACAACAAAACTAAAAGTATCACTAAGAATCTGTTTATTTCCTTAGTAACTCCATCTACTCTCATAGCATCATCCATCTTGCCAACAGAACTTATTCCCAAATCAATATCACTGACTTCAGCCTCCCTTCAGTAAAGCTAAAAACTCTAGATCAGCAGTAATGATAATTCAACCTGATCTCAGTCTACCTTTCCAGATGTTATATGCTGCTTTACTGTGTTAGGCAATCTATTTTTCAGCCCATGATCATACCATATCTTACTTTCCTATCTCGATTATTGATTTCATACCATTTCACTTTGGGTTCAGCCTCAAATGTCACCTCTCACATCAAGTCCTCTTCCTCTTGATCAGAATCAATTTCTTCTACCTTTGAGACCTATAGAAGTATGATTTCTGTCTACTTGTTTTTTTTTAACCAGTCCTGGGGCCTGAATTCAGGGCCTAGGCACTGTCCCTGAGCTTCTTTTGCTTGAGGCCTGCGCTCTACCACTTGAGCCACAGCACTATTCCAGCTTTTTCTGTGTATGTGGTACTAAGGAATCAAACCCAGAGCTTCATGCATACTAGGCAAGCACCCTACCACTAAGCCACATTCCTAGCCCTTCTGTCTACTTCTTCTTTTTTTTTTTTTTTGGTCATGGGGCCTGAACTCTGGGCCTGAGCACTGTCCCTCAGCTCTTCAGCTCAAGGCTAGCGCCCTAGCACTTGAGCCAAAGCGCCACTTCCAGCTTTTTCTGCTTATGTGGTGCTGAGGAATGGAACCTCATGCATGCAAGGCAAGCACTCTACCACTGAGCCACCTTCCCAGCCCCTCTGTCTACTTCTTGACTTAATTCTTTAAAGGTAAAACTGTCTTGCTCATTTTTCTATGCAATCTGTCCTTAGTACAATACAGAAAATGTTTCAAAGGGGCTGGGAAGTTGGCTCAGTGGTAAAGCACTTGCCTTGCATGCCTGAGGCCCTGGGTTCGATTCCTCAGCACCACATAAGCAAAAAGAAAAAAGCCGGAAGTGGCGCTGTGGCTCAAGTGGTAGAGCGCTAGCCTTGAGCTGAAGAGCTGAGGGACAGCGCCCAGGCCCAGAGTTCAGGCCCTGCGACCGGACCCAAAAAAAAAAAAAAAAAAAAAAGAAAATGTTTCAAAGACTACTTAAAACCAAGGATACTAAGTATTTGTATCTTTGTATCGGTTGCTCTTACAGCTGGGGAGAAAACTGGGGAAACAAAGGCTACATTCTCATGGCTCGGAATAAGAACAACGCCTGTGGCATTGCAAACTTGGCCAGCTTCCCCAAGATGTGACCGCAAGCAGCCAACCCCATCCTGCTCTTCTGTTCCTTCTATGATGGTACAATCTGTTGATGTACTTTGGAAGGGAGTTGTATTATTCTTGAAGTAGATGTGGTGATACTGAGACTGTTTAATTTCTCTAATTATTGGTGCTTCAAGTGACACCTGTACAACCTTCTGTTCTTTCCACCCTTTTTCTTTGTGGCCATAGCAGGAATTTCCCTAAGAGATGTATCCTTTTAGGCTAAGAGATATGACCACAGACTGACTTTGTTCTGGGACTGTTGCTATGTGGATAGATGCTTCACGTCTTCAGCTAGGCCAGATTCTCATTCATTGGGATTATTTAGCTTTAACCACCCCCAAAGGACTGAAGTGACCTGACTTCTCTACTTCCAAGTCCCCTTCTAAATCCTCAAGGTAGATATTTCTGAGTTTTTTCATTCCAATTTACAAATCTATTCATAAATCTTTGGTACAAGTTTACAAAATATAAAAATGTATTTTCTTTTTCTTCTTTGAATTTTTTAAAATAAAGTATTTATCTCTTGTCTATAATTTAATAAATAGCATTCAGTACACATTCATTGTGTATTGGGTACTATGTTAGGTGCTAAAGACAAAAAGATGAGTGAAAAATGTTCCCTTGCTGGGCATGGGTGGCTCAGGCCTATCATCCTAAGCTACTCAGGAGGCTGAGGTCTGAGGGCTGCTGTTCAAAGTCAACCTGAGTAGAATGGTCTGAGAGACTATCTCCAATAAGCCAGGAAAAAAGCTGGACTGCAAGTATGGCTCAAGCGTCAGCTGTGAGGCAAAAAAAGCTCAGCAGTCGTGCAGGGTCCCCACTGCAAGCCTCATTCAAAGCCATCCTGGGATATATAGACTTTCTCTCCAAACAAACAAGTGAACAAACAAGGTATTAGGCATTAAAAAAGAAATACAAGCCAGTGCCAGTGGCTCATGCCTGTAATCTTAGCTACTCAGGAGGCTGAGATCTAAGGATCACAGTTTGAAGCCAGCCAGGGCAGGAAGGGTCATGGGACTCTTATCTCAAATAAGCTATTCAGAAACCACTAAAAGTGGCATATGGCTCCAGTGATAGAGCACAAAGTGGCTCAGGGACAGCGCCCAGGCCTTGAGTTCAAGCCCTAGGACTGACAAAATAATAATATTAGTAAAAAGAGATACAAAGAGCCAATAAATACATAAAACACATGTATCTGAGTCTTCAGACATGATCACTAGCCATTAGAGAAATATCACTAAAACCACAATGGGTTGGAATTTTATAAACATCAAGGAGTTTTTTTTGGTTTGTTTTTTTTAAAAAAGAAGCTGGACACAATAACTCAGAGCTATATTCCTATTTAGGAGGCTATTCCAGAAAAAATTCAGGAGACCTCATTTCAACAAATGAAAAAGCTGGGTGTGGTGGTGCCTGTCTCCCATCCCAGCTATATGGGAAGATAAATGAGAGAATCAGGGTCCATGTCAGCCTGAGCATAAATGTGAGACCTAATTAAAAAATAACAATGCACCCATGCTCTAGTGACTCACACCTGTAATCTTCGCTACTGAGAAGGCAGAGTATTGAGATTGGAGGTTGGAGTAAAGCCAGTAAGAAAGTCCATGGGACTCTTACCTCCAATTAACCATCAAAAAAGCCAGACGTGGTATGGCTCTAATGATAGTGTCAGCCTTGGGCTGGGAAGGTGGCTCAGTGGTAGAGCGCTTGCCTTGCATGCCTGAGGCCCTGGGTTCAATTCCTCAGCACCATATAAGCAAAAAAGAAAAAAGCCGGAAGTGGCACTGTGGCTCAAGTGGTAGAGCACTAGCCTTGAGCTGAAGAGCTGAGGGACAGCACCCAGGCCCCCCAGAGTTCAGGCCCCATGACCGGACCCCCCCCCAAAAAAAAAAAAGAAAAGAAAGTGTCAGCCTTGAGGGATAAAAGCTGAGACAGCACCCAAGTCCTGAGTTCAGTACCCACTACCAGCTTAAAAAAAAAAAAAAGGATCTTTGTTGCTTTGTATGTCCCTCCCCCACAGTATAACCCCTGCTTTCACTGTATTTGATGTCGGTATAATTTGGGGAGGGGAAGGGGAAAAACAAATTGTTTAAATAGGGATACAGGTGGACCGATTGCAACAATGAGATGTACAAGTCGTTATGTCGAAAACAAACTTTATAACTTTGGTGGGGGAGAAGGGGGAGCGGGGAGGATGGGAAGGGGAAACAAAGGAGGAGGCTACAATGCTTGATAAGAAATGTACTCATTATCTTGCCCACGTAATTGTAACCCCTCTGTACAGTATTTGCACAATTAAAAAAAAAAAAAAAAGAAAAAAAGGGTTAGGGTTGTGGCTAAAGCGGTAGAGCTACTTGCCTAGCAAACTCAAGGCCTTCAGTACAAACTCTAGAATTTGCAAACAATAGAACATAAGGGCTGGGAAGGTGGCTCAGTGGTAGAGCGTTTGCCTTGCATGCATGAGGCCCTGGGTTCGATTCCTCAGCACCATATAAGCAAAAAGAAAAAAGCCGGAAGTGGTGCTGTGGCTCAAGTGGTAGAGCGCTAGCCTTGAGCTGAAGAGCTGAGGGACAGCGCACAGGCCCCCAAAAAAAAGAATAGAACATAAACTCTTGAACATTGTCACTGGGAATGTAGTATGCTGTGGCTGCTATGGGAAGTTAAACATAGAACTATCATATAATCCAGCAATTCTAGTCCTAGTGTTATAAATTCAAGAAAGAATAAAGATTCAAACAGATACTTGAATGTTTTTTTAATCAATATTAGTCATAATAACAAAAAAGGTAAAAACAACCCAAGGGTCCATCAACAGATGAACTCATAAACAAATGTCATATTCTATTCACAAATATTCGCCACAAAATATATTCAGCCACAAAAAGAAAAGAGGTTGTGGTGGATCCTATCACGTGGCTAGATCTTGATTTTTTTTTTTTTTTTTTTTGAGTCCGGTCGTGGGGTCTGAACTCTGGGCCTGGGCGCTGTCCCTCAGCTCTTCAGCTCAAGGCTAGCGCTCTACCACTTGAGCCACAGCGCCACTTCCGGCTTTTTTCCTTTTTGCTTATGTGGTTCTGAGGAATTGAACCCAGGCCCTCAGGCATGCGAGGCAAGCGCTCTACCACTGAGCCACCTTCCCAGCCCCACGTGGCTAGATCTTGAAAATGTAGTAAGTGAAACAAGTCAGAAACAAATACTGTATTTCCACTTAACAGCAGGCAATTAATATAGTCAAATTTGTAGGACAAGTAGCAAAATAGAGGATACCAGTGGTTGACAGTGATGGAATTAGGGGGTTATTGTATAATGGGTGCAGAGTTTTTATTTGGGATGCTGAAAAGGGGCTGAGAGGGGAGATTAGTTGGGACCTAGGGTCCTTGGATAGCATCTTGAGCTACCAAGTAGAATCTAGATGGAAAGGAGTCACTGTTTCAAAACATCATGCCTCTATTCCCTTCTAGTTTGGCTAACCTTCCCATTGACTCTCAGGAGGGAACCAATTAGGAACTAACCATCAGAATGTTGCAGGACCCAACCAATAAAAATTACCGTTGAACACATCTAATTATAATAGGGACAACCAATCAGAGGACAGCCTAGGGTATAAAAACCCTTAGACTCAGTCACCTGGGAGTATGCACAGAGAGCATACCTAAAGAGCATCAATGGCCTTTAAGCAAGACACCTACTATTGAACTATAACACTATTAGGCACTGTCTGTTGGGTACCAGTCAACCCTAGTGGTCTATGCCAGCTGCAGAACTAGAGGGCTCTGACACCACAAAGTCTGTGTGGGCTCTAGCTACTACAACAGAAGAATTCTGTATCAGTCCTATTCTCTTTCTTTTTTTCTTAGTCTGAGCCTGGAACTCAAACTCAGTATCTGGTGGCTTTTGCTCATTGGCTAGCACTCTACCAACTGGGCCACGCCTCTAACCTGAAGCTTGGTTATTTCTTTTTTTTTTTTTTTTCTTTTTTTCCTGCATCAGTTCTAAACAGAGACAAAGTTTTCCTTTACTCCTGGGTGTGGCATTGGACCCTGATCCTCCTATGCTTCCCATGTAGCTGGAATTACAGGCACATGCCACTATGCCTGGCTAACTTTTCCTCTGTGCTGCCTCAAACTGTAATCTTCCTTGTCTTTGCATCCTCTGCCTTCCTGTCTGCTGAGATTACAGGTGAGCTACTTGTTCCCGGCTAGACTGACTCATTTTAAGCTCAGTATGTGTTTATGTCCACTTTAAAATCAGGATATTAGGGCTGGGAAGGTGGCTCAGTGATTATAGAGTGCTTGCCTTGCATGCATGATACCCTGGGTTCGATTCCTCAGCACCACATAAGCAGAAAAAGAAAAAAAGAATAAAATCAGGATCTCATTATTTTAAGGTGAAATGGAAGGTAAATGACAAAAAATAATCCCAACAATGTACATTTCAGAAATACTTTAGCTCAGATAAGAGCTCTGCCCCAAGTGACTGACAATATTCATGACACACTTGATATGCTACAATCACTTAAGGAATGTCACAATATTTAAAGTACACAAAACTGCAAATGATTATTTAAAAATTAACTAGGGGGGCTGGGAAGGTGGCTCAGTGGTAGAGTGCTTGCCTTGCATGCCTGAGGCCCTGGGTTCGATTCCTCAGCACCACATAAGCAAAAAGAAAAAAGCCGGAAGTGGTGCTGTGGCTCAAGGGTAGAGTGCTAGCCTTGAGCTGAAGAGCTGGGGGACAGTGCCCAGGCCCAGAGTTCAGGCCCCATGACCAGACCAAAAAAAAATTAACTAGGTTATCCCTGTAATAATATTATGTTCATATATGTCCATTCCAATATGCTTTCTAGAAAAGAAAAGTCTGTGATAATTTCCAGAGGCTGACATTATTTTGCAAACATTTCCAGAGGAAAGCACCACAAATATAGACATGTCTTTATAGTCACCAAAACAGTTCAAAGCCAGCCTGGGCAAGCAAATCCGTGAGACTCTGATCTCCAGCTCACCACCAGAAAAACCAGAAGTGGCACAGTGGGAAGGGGGGAAGATTAAGTAACATACTTCCTCAGAAAAACTTAAAGTAGCTGATTTTCAGGGTATATGAAGCTAAAGAGAGGGTGACTTCAAACCATAGAAAAAGCACAGTGTAAACAAGCAGGCGTGAGCTTCCTTGTTCTGCTTTCATTTCCCCTTTCTTCCATTGGTCAGGAAACGCCTCCTCATCTATGATGGAAAGCTGCCAGCGTTTCAGAGAAGATTAGTATTATACTGTTGGACACTTTTCTTGGCTTTTAATCACTCCAGTTAAGTAAGTTTGGAACAACAAGTTACACCATTTCAGGGCAACCATTGAACAAGAGTCCAATTTAAAGCTTTGAAATATTGCAGGATGATTTCTTTTTTTCAGACAGGGACTCACTCTAACTCAGGCTGGCCTTGAACTCACAGTCCTCCGGCCTTAGCCTTTTTAGGGCTGGGATTATAAACATGTATCACTATATGTAGCCAGGATGATTTTTTTTTTGTCAGTCC